AAGGGCTTTCATCTTCTCGAAACTCGATCAATAGCTCGAGATATCGTCAAAACAGTAAACATTGCCTAGAAACGCTCAAAATCTAAAAGGGTTAATCCTCTCAGAACAAATTATGAACGTCATATCTTTCATCTGCAAGCTCCGTTTTCGGCAAAATCGGACTCCATATTGAATCCCTTATGAGATCTCGAAAATGAATCAGGAACCGGCTCAAAACGCGTCCCTTAGTTCGAGATATCGCTCAAACAGTAAAAAAGGGGGTTGAAACTGCAGTTATGTGGAACAAGTTGCAAAGGTCATAGCATTCATCTGCGAGCTCCGTTTTCTACAAAATTAGACTTCATGGTTAACCCCTAGAAAATATCTTCGCAATAAAAAAAAATCGTTTCGAAACTCAGCCCGTAGCTCGAGATATCGTCGAAACAGTAAACGTTGTCCGAAAATGCTCAGAACTGGAGGAGTGCCACCACTCGGAACAAACTGCGAAGGCAATATCTTTCAGATCCGCTATCCATTTTCTAAGAAACCAGACTCTAGAGTGAAGCCCTAGATGAAATATCTAAAATAAATTAGGAACCGGCTCAAAACCCGTTTTGCAGCTCGAGATATCGCCCAAATAGTAAAACAGGGCTGAAAATGCAGCCGTGTGGAACAAGTTATGAAGGTCATAGCTTTCATCTGCGAACTCTGTTTTCCGCAAAACTGGACTCCATAGTGAAGCCCCAGAAAAGAGCTTCGCACCAAAAAAAGAATCATCTCGAAGCTTGGCCTGTAGCTCGAGATTTCGTCAAAATAGTAAACAGTGCTCGGAAACGTTCAGAATCTAGAGGAGTTCAGCCACTCAAAACAAATTGCGAAGGTAATATCTTTCAAGTCTGAGCTTTGTTCTCTGCAAAACTAGACTTCAGAGTGAAGCCCCTAATGAGATCTCCAAAATGAATCTGGAATCGGCTCAAAACTCGTCCCGCAGCTCGAGATATCGCCTAAACAGTAAAAAGGGACTGAAAGTGCAGCCTGTGCAACAAGTTACGAAGGCCATAGCTTTCTTCTGCGAGTTCTGTTTTCCGCAAAACAGGACTCCATAGTGAAGCCCCAGAAAAGAGCTTTGTAACAAAAATAGGAATTGTCTCGAAACTCGGCCTGTAGCTCGAGATATCATCAAAACAGTAAATGTTGCCCGCAAACACTGAGAATCTGGAAGAGTGCAGCCACTCAGAAAAAACTGCGAAGGCCATATCTTTCAGGTCCGAGATCCATTTTCTGTAAAACCAAACTCCAGAGTGGAGCCTCTGATGAGATCTCCGAAATGAAATAAGAACCTGCTTAAAACTCGTCCCGCAGCTCGAGATATCTCCTAAATACTAATGGTGGCTGAAAGTGCAGCCAGGTGGAAAAAGTTGCAAAGGCCATAACTTTAAACTATGAGCTTCGTTTTCTGCAAAACCAGACTCCATAGTGAAGTCCGAGCAGAGAGCTTCGCAACAAAAAAAGAATCGTCTCGAAACTCAGCCCGTAGCTTGAGATATCGTCGAAACAGTAACTGTTGCCCGGAAATGCTCGGAAACTGGAGAACTGTCGCCACTCGCAACAAACTGCAAAGGCCATATCTTTCAGGACCGATATCTGTTTTCTGCAAAATCAGACTCCAATGTGAAGCCCATGGCGAGAGCTTCGAAATGAATCGAGAATCGGCTCAAAACTCATTTCGCAACTCGAGATATCGCCCAAATAGTAAAATAGGGCTAAAAGTGCAGTCGTGTGGAACAAGTTGTGAAGGTCATAGCTTTCATTTGCGAGCTCCATTATTTGCAAAACTGGACTCCATAAAGAAGCCCCTGAAAAGAACTTCACAACAAAAAAAGAATCGTTGCAAAACTCAGCTCGTAGGTCCAGATATCGTCGAAATAACAAACATTACCCGGAAATGCTCAGAATCATGAGAGGTGCAGCCACTCGGAAGAAACTGCAAAGGCCATATCTTTAAGGTGCGAAATACATTTTTTGCAAAACCAGCCTTCCAGAGTGAAGCCCCTAATGAGATCTTCGAAATGAATCAGGAACCGACTCAAAGCTCATCACGCAGCTCGAGATATCGCCTAAATTGTAAAACAAGGCTGAAAGTACAGCTGTGTGAAACAAGTTGCGTAGGCCATAGTTTTCATCTACGAGCTCCGTTTTCTGCAAAATTGGACTCCTTAGTGAAGCCCCAGATAAGATTTGCAAAATGAATCAGGAATCGGCTCAAAACGCGTCCCGCAGCTCGAGATATCACCCAAACAATAAAACGGGGCTGAAAGCGCAGCCGTGTGGAACAAGTTATGAAGGTCATAGCTTAATCTGCGAGCTCCATTTTCTACAAAATTAGACTTCAAGGTTAAGCCCCAGAAAAGAGTTTCGCAACAAAAAAAGAATCGTCTCGAAACTCGGCCCGTAGCTTGAGGTATCATCGAAACAGTAAACATTGCCTAGAAACGCTCAGAAACTGGAGGAGTGCCGCCACTCGGAAGAAACTGCGAAGGCCATATCTTTCATGTCCGAGATTCGTTTTCTGCAAAATCAGACTCCAGACTGAAGCCCCTGACGAAATCTTCCAAATGCATCAGGAACTAACTCAAAACTCATCCCGCAGCTCGAGAAATCGCCCAAACAGTAAAAAGGGGCTGATAGTGGAGTCGTGTGGAACAAGTTGCGAAGGCCATAGCTTTCATCTGTGAGCTTTGTTTTTTGCAAAACTGGATTCCATAGTGAAGCCCCTGGAAAGGGCTTCATAACAAAAAAAAGAATCGTCTTAAAACTCGGCCCATAACTTGAGATATCGTCGAAACAGTAAACATTACCTGGAAACGCTCAGAATCTGGAGGGGTGCAGCCCCTCGAAACAAACTGCGACGGCCCTATCTTTCGGGTCCGAGATCTGTTTTTTGCAAAACAAGACTCCATAGTAAATCCCCTGACGAGATCTTCGAAATGAATTAGGAACCAGCTCAAAACTTGTCCCGCAGCTCGAGATATCGCTCAAAGAGTAAAACGAGGTTGAGAGTGTGGCCGTGTGGAACAAGTTGCAAAGGCCATTGCTTTCATCTGCGAGCTCCTTTTTTGCAAAAACTGGACTCCATAGTGAAGCCCCAGAAAAGAGCTTTATAGCAAAAAAAGAATCGTATCGAAACTCGGCCTGTAACTCGAGATATTGTCAAAACAGTAAACGTTGTCTGAAAACGCTAAGAATCTGGAGGGGTGCAGCCAGTCGGAACAAACTTTGAAGGCCATATCTTTTAGGTTCAAGATTTGTTTTCTGGAAAACTAGACTCCAGAGTGAAGCTTATGATGAGTGCTTCAAAATGAGTCAGGAACCAACTCAAAACTTGGCTCACAGCTAAAGATATCGCCAAAACAATAAAATAGGGCTGATAGTGCAGCTGTGTGGAACAATTTGTGAAGGCCATAGCTTTCATTTGCAAGCTCGATTTTCTGATAAACCAGACTCCAAAGTGAAGCTCCAAAAAAGACCTTTTGCAACAAAAAAAAATCGTCTCGAAACTCGATCTATAGCTCAAGTTATTGTCAAAACAGTAAACATTGCCCGAAAACGTTCAAAATCTGGAAGGGTTCAGCCGCTCGTAACAAACTGCGAAGGTCATATCTTTTAGGCCCGAGATCCGTTTTCTGCAAAACCAGACTCTAGAGTGATACCCCTGACGAGATCTTCGAAATGAGTGAGGAACCGGCTCAAAACTTGTGCCGCAGCTTGAGATATCGCCCGAAGAGTAAAACGGGGCTGAAAGTGCGACCTTGTAGTACAAGTTGCGAAAGCCATAGCTTTCATCTGCGAGCTCCGTTTTCTGCAAAAATGGACTCCATAGTGAAGCCTCAGGAAAAAGCTTCGCAAAAACAAATGAATCGTATCAAAACTCGGCCAGTAGCTCGAGATATCATCAAAAAAGTAAATATTGTCCGGAAATGCTCAGAATCTGAAGGGGTGCAGCCACTCGGAACAAACTATGAAGACCCTAGACCCTAGCCCCTAGCCCCTAACCCCTAGACCCTCAACCCTAAGCCCTAGGCCATAGACCCTAGTCCTAAGCCATAAACTCTACACCCCAAACCCTATAACCTAAACCCTACACCCTAAAGCCCTAACCCCAAACCCTAGACCCTGAACCCTAAACTTAGACCCTAGCCCCTATCCCCTGCCCCCTAACCCAAACCCGAAACCAAACTCTTAAACCCTACACCCTAACTCCTAAACCCTTAATCCCTAACACTAAACCGTCAAATATCAACACTAGACATCGATACATAATAATTTCTATTATTTTGATAAACGAAATTTTAATATATTGACTGAGCTAATATTTTAAATCTTCAAATAATAGAGTGTATGGAATATATATACATGTTGGCTTCTCAAATGTAAAAATTACACATTCACTCGTATTTGGTATAATCTCACCATTAAAATAAATAACAATGACAACACTCATTTTTTCTTTCTATAAAAATACAAAATTCTCAAAAATTAGGAAAAGATATGTACGCAATTACAAATGGCTAAGGCTACCAAAAATTTCACATTTATAGACTCATCACTTAAAAATCGCAATTTGTGTTTTTTTACTGTTTTTAAACTATTTTTCTTTGGTCAAATATTGTTATGGACGAGTTTAAAGTACTATTTTTACTTTTTTTTTTGTTAAATATTACTATTTGTGATTTTAAGATATTTTTTTAATTTAATTCAGTCAAAACTCACGCTTTGTAATTTTTATAATTTTACTCTCTTTTTTTCGATAATTTGTAAGTTACAATTTTTTATCTGAAAATTTTGATTTTTTGACATATATGTTTACCTTACATATAAGAACGCCAGTTACGGTTTTTATAAAAGACTATATTCTGATAATATTGCCAAATTTTCTGTATTCTTGTAATTTGATTTTAAAATAACCATAATTAAAAAAATTACCCTATAAGTGTATCTTTTATTTTATTTTTTTTATTGACTTCTGAAACCTTAACTATTTGCCGAAAAACATGTAAATATGCAGGCGTCTCAGCGACAAGACCGAACTGGAAAAACAAAGCAATGTGGTTGAAAACGTTAACAACCTCCCCTCTTTCGGGAATCGCTGTTTTGGTCCTTCTCTTCGCTCTCCTTCTCAGATTTTACATTAAATTCGACACCACGCAGGTAACAGCTGCTAACACCCGAGAAAAAAAAAAATTTAAATTCTTGGGTTTGAGGTTTTTGTGGTGCTTGTTAAATTGAGTCATAAAATATCTCATTTTTCTTTTAAATTTTAATCAAGTGAAATATCCGACCCGAAGCCATGCGTGGATGATGAAGTCAACAATTTTAACTCTGCATTTTGTTTTGTAGAGATTGTTCAGTGCTGAAGAACTTGCATTGTTCAATGGAACGGATGAAGGGTTGCCAATCCTTCTAGGAATTCTTGGGTAATTTGCCATATTCATTGAATGACATTGTGGCAATTGTAATGTTACTTTAGATTGTTAACTCTGATATGTTAATACTTTTTTATTATTTCTTGATAGATCTGTTTTTGATGTAACGAAGGGAAAATCTCATTATGGTTTAGCAGGGGGCTACAATCATTTTGCTGGAAGGCATGCTCTTAAACCCTTCCCTCATCCAATCATGATTTTTGTTGTTCTTGGAATTTAATGAAACTTAGAGATTTCAACTCATAGTGACAGCTTTTTTCTGTTTTTTTTGGGAGCAAATTCAGGGATGCTTCTCGCGCTTTTGTCTCTGGAAATTTCACAGGTAAAAGACTTGTGTGTGGGTTGTTCAGGCTGGTGTTTCTTAATATGAGTCAATAATCCTCCTTTGGAGACACTGGGTCAACCGCAAAAGATGAGAACTGCATTTTTACTGTTGGGAATCTAGAGAATTTGTAATGTTTTAAATGTGGGGTGATAAAAAAGGTGATTCATAATTAACCAAACCAAAGTAACTATTTTGAGTTACTTTTAATATTCACTTTGTTCCATTTGGTTTTGATTTTTGGTAATGGATAGCTATGTGTGGTTCATGTTTTTGTAATTTTATTTGTTTTAAATTTATATGATGTTGTAGACAAAATTGATTGGATATCTATCATGTTCTTGATGCTTTAAATCGCAGAATAAATAAATACTAGATAAATAAATGGATGAATTACATGTGCTTGGAAACTATGGCCTTTATTCTTTCTTAACTTCTAATCTGATTTGAAAGGGAGGAAATAAGGTTCGTGAAAATAAAATTAGGTTAACAATGGCTTGTAATTTCTTTTAGAAGTTAAAATTTGGAGGGCCCTGCATAGACCTTGTTGTCTGCTATGACTGCTCCGAGACATCTTATAATATTGCCTAATATTTGTCTGCTATTACTGCTCTGAGAAACATTTTTTTCTTTAATCATTCTATATACTTTTCTGTATTTTAACTTTGTATGTATCCTTTTGTTCATGTAGGAGATGGTCTCACTGACTCATTGCGCGGTCTATCAAGTACTGAGGTTGTAATTGATGTGATTTGTTCAGTTTTTATTAACTTTGTTTTCTGAAAGATTAAATTATAAGCCTAATCATCTAAATTAATTTTTCCTCTTGTCGTGTTGAATATATTGCTTCCACTTTTTTTTGTCATTAGTCATACCTGTGTAATGTCTAAAACATAGATGTAAATTTTTGTTTTCAAACCTAAATCTTACCCCAAATTAAATGGTGCGTGCAGGTGAAGAGTATTGTCGAATGGAGGGATTTCTACTCTAGAACTTATGAGTGAGTCATATCTTCTGCAATCTGCTATTTTGTTTAAACTTTTATGTAGCTTATATTAAAGTCTTGAATGTTTTGGAATGCATTGTACAATTATAATTCAGCAAACTCATAGTAGTTAATCTTGGATAGCAGCATAGAGTGGCCGACCCAAAAATGCTATAGCGGGATGATCGCTATTTTAGGCATTATAAATATACCCATATAAATTAAGTTACACACATGTATATGCTGAAAAATATAAATTTAAGACCCAACTTAAAAACGTATGTAATAATGATTAAAAGTAAAAGTTTAAAAACATAACACATGTCAAATGTCAATAATAAGTAACAAAAAAAATATAAGAACTAAATAAATATAAGTCTAATGCTTACATGTTTAGGTGATGCCGAAAGCTTCACTAACCTTGAAGAAGACAACAAGAGATGAACAAAATGACTCAAAATAATCTCGGTCAGATTAGAGGCTTCATCAGAGACGAAGATGACTAGAAAATGTTCTTTTCTTGTTAGAAGCCTTTGGAGATGAAGGCCACACTCCAGTGGTAGAAACAGAGAGAACAAAGATGAAATGAGAGAGAGCTAAGAGAAGAGTTGAGGGGCTAGCGAGAGGAAGGGAGAAGATTCAGAAAATAAAGAGGAGAGGGGGCGAAATCCCAATATTGCCCCCCTTAAAAGCCCCAACATTAAAAAACAGCGGTAGATTCAGAATTTTCGAGGAGGACAGCATAGCGGCCGCTACAGCCGCTATTTGCAGCACGATAGCTACGACACTGAACTGCGACACAAAATTTTCGAGGAGGACAGCATAGCGGCCGCTATTGATAACTATAACCAAACTGATTCTTTTCCTTGGACATTGATTGATTTCTTTGGCTCCTAAGTTTCAGACCCCATAAAGCTTTTTAGACTTCTAGAATAACAACATATTTTTCATCTTGTGTTAGTTTTAATGGCTTTCTTAAGTATAGGATAAGAACCACTAACCACTGTGTGCTCTTGATCTATTTTTTCCCTGTTTGATTGGTGTTTCTTTGTGAAATTCATTGTTTTGCATCTACTTAGTGTGGTGTATGTTCTAGCTCATTAGACAGTTAGATGAGTTTTTAATTAGTTATGCCTGTCTTGGTTAAAGGAAGCCAAAATGTTGTGACCACATGCTGTCTAAGCTATATTTTGGTGTGTATGTTAGAGCTTGATTCTCATATCTTTAAGGAGAGAACAATTAGTGAGATCTTTCTTTGGGATAGGATTAAGCATTTGGCTTATGCATGGTGTAAAGCTCATGGTCTTTCAGAAGGCTTTTCCCTGCAGATATGTTTAGGAACAATCTTTGCTTTAATTTTTTTTTCTCCATCTCTTTTGGTCCATGTCTTAGTAGGATCTCTTATTCTCCAATCTCTTTATAATCTTCTTTTTATCTTAATGAATATTTATTTTACAACAACATAAACTAATTTTCTAATTATTTTAATTGTCTCAAATTGGTGAAATTACCGAACAAAATTAATTAGGTGAGTGTTAGGGTGTGGGTCTCCCAAGGCTCTTATCAGTGAGATAACAGATTTCACATAAAGGGGATTGAGGAGGATTAACCGGGATAAGGCTAAATAATTATTTTAGGAGGTGAGGACTGAGGACCCTACCTCCTATGAAGCATGGACATCTCTTTTGTTTGAAATGTCGCATTGACAGACACATTTCTGACCCTGACCCTTCTCGGACATTTGTTTGACACATGTCCACATGAGGTGTTCAATTATTATTTTTTTCAGCTTGGACACCTAAACCGACACTTCAATGTAGATGGAGGCACACAAGAATTATTAGAAAAAACTTTTTCGTTGTACTTTAGAAAAACTTAGCTTAACTTTTAATGTAAAATATTAAGAAATGTTTTTTAAATTTTTTTGGAAGGCTCATTGCAGTACTGTTCACACAAACTGTTTGTGGTACTGTTCTTTGCTTATTTTTTATATTTTGGTACTATTTGTCTCACCCATGGCTGGATCCACCCTTGGAGGTCCTCCAAAAGTTGAGCCTACTATTTTTTTTACCAATCATGTTAGTGCTCTGTGTCCACTGAGAATTTGGACAGCTCTAACTATGACACCTAGGCTTCTGATGTCAAGCTTTGGTTCAAGGGACAGCATTACCTCAACCACCTCTCCACAAAGGAGTCTATAGATGAAGGTGATTGTTCTAAGTGGAGCAAAGATTGATTTATAGTTTGTAGCATCATAAAATCCACCATTCATCTATCTGTGAGATGGATCTTTTGCTCCCATAAGATTTGAGCAGTTTGGGTGTAGGGTAAGGATCTTAATACTAATGACACTCTGCCTATATAAGGTTTACACATCCTCATGAGTGTTAGTGTTAGATAATAAAATGTTCTACATTGGTGAATTAGATGATAGAAAATTGTTAAAGGTGAGTTGGTTATATGCAAAGAGTTGGAGTCAATGGATGACATAATTTTAGTTTAGTAAAATAGGGTTGAGGGAGATCCAACAGAACTTTAGAATAAATTATTAAAAGAAATTTAGTGATAAATAATATTTTTGAGAATTTGATTTTTTATTGAGATCAATGATGTCATATAATTCATGTAGTCAATCCCACCTAGTGGGATAAGACTTGATTGTTGTTGATGATGATGATGTGATTATTTTTTAATCTATTATTCCTTTCTCACAACTAGTTGTTATATCACTTGAGTCTAAGTCTACTCCTTTTCACTATCAACCACTAGAAATATCCCACAATACAAAAAGAATTGACTTCTTTGAGTCCTCTACAAGTGTATCATTGTTGGCACCAACCATCTTATGTGCCATCATCAATTAGTGATGAGACTACTTTTGACTTATCCTCTGTTTTGGTAACGTATGCTTGATGAGATGTGTGTTTTTCATAGTAGTGGTACTTACGATCATGTTTCTCTTCCTCTTGGAAAATTTGTTATTACTTATTAGTTGTCTGTGGATTTACATTGCTAAGGTTGGCGTTGATGGTCAAATTAATTGCTTGAAGGCTTGCTTGGTGGTCAAAATTTATACATAGATCTTTGGTTTAAATTATGGCGGCACCTTCTCCCTTGTGAACAAAATGACCTCAGTTCAGCTATTCTTATTCATGTTCACTATTTGTCATTGGCCAGTTCATTAACTTGACATCCATATTTTTCCTCCATGTTGATTTGACCAAAGATGTATATATGAACAACCTCCTAAGTTTATTGCTTAAGAGGACTCTTTAGGACTAGTTTGTCATCTCCAAATATTACTGTATGGTCTATTATATAGAGATAAATGTCATATTGAAGTTGTGAGTTATTTAGATGCAGATTGAGCGGGCTCTCTTGCAAATAGAAGATCCACTTCTGGTTACTGCATCCTTATTGGTGAAAATCCGCTTTCTTGAGAAAGCAAGAAATTGAGTGTGGTTGGGTGTGAGCTTATCTAGTTTAAATAGTCACTCAAAGAGGTGAGATTTGGGGAGATTACACAAATGACATTATGACTTTACGTATTGTCTCAAATCCATTCTTCTATGAGAGAACCAAACATGAGACAAATTGTCACTTTATTAGCGAATATATCTTATTCGAAGATATCACCACTAGCTTCATCAATTCCAATATTTAATTGATGGATGTTTTTACTAAGCCATTAAGAGGTCCTTGAATTACCTATATATGTTACATGCTTGGTGTACGTGATTTATATGCTTCAGCCTGAGGGGGAGCATTGACAATATGCAATATAGTAATAGGGAAGCTTTTATTATCGTAATTATGTTTATTAGGTAATTGTATATTCTTGTGTTTAACTGTAATCACTCATTATTAATGACAAATAATATAAATATGTGCTCCTGTGTGTAACCCAAGACATGCGAATTCATTCACATGCTTTCTTATTCTTTTCTCTCAATAGTTATAAAAATAAGTTTATTGCCAACCTCATCTACTGGGACAAACTTAGTTGTTGTTATAGTTTTAAAAATAAGGTTATGCAATAAAATGGACACTAATTCTCTCACTAATTAGATGATTGTTTTTATTGAGGATATTACTGAAAAATTAACCATGAATATGATAATTGATGATTTTACCTTATGAAATAATGGAGAATGTTAAGAAACTTAGGCCTAAACATCTAAACACACCTCACATTCAAGACTAGACATTTGGTGCATAAAGTTTCAGGATTGGACATCTGCAAGTATCCCAATAGAACTGGACATCTAACATTCAAAACTAGATAAGCTCTGATATCATGTTAAGAAATTTAGGCCTAATTCACTCCCAAAAGCTAACTCATAGGAGGAGGACTATCCAAGCCCTTATAAGGAATATTTTGTCTTTATTCCTAGCCAATGTGAGACATCTTAACAGAGAACATAACTTCAAAAGTATAGGTATATTTTTTATCTTGTTATATGTTAGACACTATCATCTATAAATATATTAATGTAGTTTGTATATTATGATAGTTATATCTTAAATTTGCTACATATATTTTGCATGTGTTAGTTAAAATTTTCTTTCTATATAGGTCATATACACTTTTATCTTGGCTCCTCTTAAACCAAATTCTGGCTCCACCCCTTATGCTTATGGCTGTTTTAGGACCTTTCATCTCATTTGTGTACAGTGCTTAGACAACTTCTGATAGAAACTTGGTATCTTTACTAGAAAGAATGGGGAAAGAACTCTTCATAGAACAAAACACACACGCCGCAAAACTTTGAGGTTCTGCACATCCCATTTCCCAAAGGCCCTAATTTCCTCTCAAATGACAAGATATCCCTCTCTGAAAAAATAATTACATAGATAATGACAACAAATATTTACAATAAATCGTAATCATTATGATATATTCTCAACAAGTTTAAAACTTGCTTCTCATATGTTATTGTCTATAATGGCATATTTTCTGTACCTGCTTTAACATGTTTAGTATTTGTTTTACCAGCTACCACTATCATTAATATGCTTTGACTTTCTAGATCATTGTGTTAGGTTTAGGAAATTACAAAGCACTTGCCTTGGGACACAGCTCATTACTTGAATGTTTACTAGATTCTTTTCTATCCTTATTTTTATAGGTATGTTGGCAAGCTAGTCGGTCGATACTATGATAGCCAAGGGAGTCCTACTAAATATTTGAGAGGGGTTGAAGCAAAGGCTGCCAGAGGTGCACAGCTTCTAGAAAAGCAAAAGATTGAAGAGGCTAAACAACCTGTGTGCAATTCGAGATGGAGTCAAGATGAGGGTGGTGAGGTATGCACCATTATCACTATATGAAACCAGTTTATCTTCATGTTATTTATTGATATGATTTCTCCCAACCCAAACATTACTGGAAGTTTAGATTGGTGGTGAATCATGGTTGTTATACTTGAAGTTGAGTGAGAGTGATATTTTTCATATATTTCTAAGTAAATTGTATAATATTCATATACAAAATAGACAATCTCAATCCCTAAAGTTTAGGGATTGAAATTAGTGATGAATCATGGCTATGTTATACTTCAAGTTGAGTGAGTGATATTTTTCATATATTTCGTAATTTCCACAATATTTATATACAAAAGAGACAATCTCAATCCCTAAAGTTTAAGGATTTGTATTAAGCTATTTATGGTGACTAAATCACAAACTAAAATGATAGGCAACTTACAGCTAATAATATCTCAACACTCTCCCTCAAGGTGGAGCATATATATCATATGCATCCGGCTTGTTACATATGTATATTATCTTAGGGCCACTTAAAGACTTAGTGAAGATGTCTGCCAACTGATCTTTAGAGCAAACAAAGAAAGTTTTGATGATGCCTGAGAGAATCTTTTCCCTGAAAAAGTGACAATTCACCTCAAAATGTTTTGTTCTTTCAGGAACCACTAGATTGGAGGAGAGATATAATGCTGATTGGTTATCATATCACACATAAGCTCCATAAGACCAACCTCACAAAACTACAACTCCTAAGGGTATGTTTGGGAGTTATATTTAGGAGGGGAAGGGAAGGGAAGGGAAGGGAGGGATTAGGGAGGTTTAGTTGTTGTTTGGAAGTTAATTAATTTGAAGGGGAAGGATTAGGGGGTTTAGAATAACAAAAAATTATTTTTTCAAAAAAATGTTAGTTTTTAGAGTGAGAATTTTTTTAAAATATAAAAAAAATTAGAAATATGAATTTTAGAGGGAGAAAAATATATAATGTGTATTTTTTGAAAAAAATTAAAGAAAAAAATAGCAATAAATTAATTTTTTCAAAATATATTAATTTTTAGAGTGATATTTAAAAAAAAAAATTATCAAAAAATAGAAATATATTTTTTAAATATATTTTTAGAGTGATAGTTTTAAAATATACTAGTTTTTAAAAATATTAATTTTTAGAAGAAGAAAAATTTTATTTTTGTATTTTTTGAAAAAATAAAAAATATAAAGGGCAATAATATCATTTATATATTTAAACCCTCTATTACCCTCCCTTTCTCAAATTGAACATTCAAACAAGATAGGGGGTTTAATGCCCCTTCTCTTTCCTTTCCCTCCAAACTTCCAAACAAAGCCTAAAGTAAATGTTTCAACCATAATAGCTCACATGTAGTGTGAGTCATGGCACAATACTCAGCCTCTGTGCTTGACCTAGAACAACACTTTGTTTTTTACTTTTCCATGAGACAAGATTACCTCCCATGAAAACACAATAGCCTTAAGTAGACCGCCTGTCTCCTACATTTCTTGCCCAATCTGCATCCGAGTATCCAACAATATAAGTGTGCCCTTTGTCAGTGTAAACAAGTCCCTTTCCATGTGATCCTTTAAAGGCTCCCCTTGATTGGTTAGAAGTTTCACATTGGGATCCATGAGGTTCTAAACTGGTTTGCAATCTAGAAGGCCTGTCTCCTTTGAGATGTCAAGGGCATACTTCTTTTGAGAAAAAGAAATACCTGACTTTGATTGAGCTACCTCTATCCCAAGGAAGTAACACAAAGGACCTAGATCCTTAGTCTGAAAATGCTGGAACAAGTGCTGTTTCAGAGCCTCGATGCCTTCCTAATCATTACCTGTAATCACAATATCATTTACATAAACCACAAGATAGATATATTGTTGTGACGATGAACATTGAAAGTAAACAGAGTGGTCTGCCGTGCAGCAAATCATCCCAAACTGTTGTATAACTTTGGTAAACTAACCAATCCAAGCCTGAGGTTACTGTTTAAGGCCATATAAGGGCTTCTGCAATTTACACACAAGGTCCGACTCCCCCTGAGCAACAAATCCAAGGAGTTGTATTAAGAGTTGAAGCCAAGTTGAAGCTCGATTTTGACAACCATGGGTAGGTGGATGTGGAGCAAAAGAAGTGACTGGACCAGGAGCTGAATCACTGGGCTGTTGGGGCTGTTGCATGATGTGGTTGAATGAAAATGAGGAACAGGTAATATCGGAGGACTGCAATTTAGGTCAAGTGAAGAAGTATATGAAGGTAGGAAGTACAGACTATCTTCAAAGAAAGTTACATCTACAAAAGTGTAAAACTGATGTGTGGTGGGAGAATAACATTGGTAACCCTTTTGGACATAAAAGCAGCCTAGGAAGACACACTTGATGGTAGGAACTGACATCTTATCATGACCTGGAGAAAGATTATGGACAAAACAAACACACCAAAAAACATGAGGAGAAATAGTATAAAGGGAGTCCTTAGGATACAGAATGGAATAAGGAATTTGATTATTTAGAACAGAGGATGGCATCCGATTTATTAAATACCTTGCAGTAAGCACAACATTTTAAAGGTGCATTGGCACCTAGCAAGAGAGTGCAAGCAGTGTCCTCAATATGTCTATGTTTTCTTTTGGCTACACCATTTTGTTGTGATGTATGGGAACAACTAGAATGATGTATAATGCCATGAGATTCCATAAAAGGATTGAAACAATCAGAGAAGTATTCTCTAGCATCGTCACTATGCAAGACACGAATTACTTGACAAAATTGAGTTTTGATTTCTGAACAAAAGTTTTGAAAAATATTGAATAATTTGGAACGATCTTTCATTAAAAATATTCGAGTGCATCGTGAGAAATCATCAATAAAAGTGACATAATATTTATATCCTAAGAAATCATCAATAAAAGTGACATAATACTTATATCCTAAGACAGGCGAAACATAAGTAGGACCCCAAACATCTGAATGAATAACATCAAAGGAGACGAAGCTTGACTACTAATATGGCTAGGAAAGAAAGCTCTAACATGTTTTCCGAGTTGACATGACTCACTCTAAAGATACCAACTCTGAGAGATGAGGTACCCTTGATTTCAATTTATCCAAGCTCGGATGTCCCAACCGACGATGTAGACTAGGAGATTCAGCAGTTGCACATATGGTAGAAGCGGATGGCTGAAGACGTAGAGGTCATGTGATTCAGATCCAGCTCCAATCATCTGTCCTGTACTCCGGTCCTTTATCAAAAAGGAATTAGAAGTGAAGGTTATGACACAATTCAATGAGCTAGTCAGCTTGTTATTAGATATTAGATTAAAGTGGCACCCAAGAACTAATAAAACAGAATTTAATTGTAGTGAGGGAAGAGGTGATATTTGGCTAATACTAGTGGCTTGTACTTTTGACCCAACTGCAAGAGTAATATGATGTGGGGTTTTGGGTGATGATAAATTGGAGGAAAGAGAAGGATTACCAGTTAGGTGACCAAAAGCACTAGAATCCAAAATCCAAGGCCCAAGAGGTGCAGAATGTGAGAGACAAGTCGTAGAATTATTGATGAGTAACAATGGCAGATGAAGATGCTTGTTTGGCTACCTTCAATTCAAGATATTCTCTATACTCATTTGCGATCATCGAAATTGAATGAGTGCCACTGGATTCAATCTTTGAATCTAAGGTTGGAGTCGAAAATTGGGCAACATTAGCAGTCTTGCTTGGAAAACCATGCAAAGAGTAGCACCAATCCTGAGTATGTCTGCCCCTCTTGCAATAAGTACAATGAAGGCTCCCTCAACCACCTCTGCCACAACCTCGACCTCCTCAATCAGGAAAATTAGAAATAAAAGCAGTGGACTCAACCTGTTTGAGAATCATCCTGCTGTGAAGGAATCTGAATCAAACAATCAATGAGTTCTTCCACTGTAGGAATGATATGATTTGCAAGAGTTTGATCGTGAACAAATCCATAGTCCTTATCTGATTGTCCTTCCATGCAGCTGTGGCAGATTAATAGTTGCATTTTCTCAGGTTCATCCATAGTGTTAATAGATTCAGTAAGGGCAAAGTCTAATACGACCACTTCAACACGGTATTAGGAAAATCTTCCTGACATGGGGCTACGAAATCTTCCCTTAGTGGATATAGTTACACTGATTATCCTGACAATGCACAGCTATTAATTAATCCACTCAAGCTACAATGAAGGGGAATTGGATAACTAGGAATCTTTTTCTTATTTTGATGTAATTTGGGTAATGAGTTTTATGCTTATATCTTCCACCTGTAACCAAATGATTGATGTTATCATGGTCATGTTGTGTTGTTATACCAATCTTTTAAGTATGCATGAATATTTTCCCTTCTATCACTCCTTTTACTTTTACCCTTCTATCTATCTCATAACTTTGTTTCGCTTTCTTTTTTCTTATGATAGATTTGCAAGTATTCATTCTACATTTTTTGTAAATTACCTCCTGATGGATTTAGTAAACTGTCGTGGGCTCAGAGGGCATGCCAATTCCATTTATTTTATGTTCTAACAAGTTTTTGGTCGCATCTTGTCGTGACACCCTCTGGGTACTTGGTAATAATTAGGAAATAACTTGTATAGATCACGAGCTTACCCATGCGTGGCAAATTTGTTTACAAGTTATGACAGTTCATCGTAGCTATATTAATGCAGATTGTTTCCAAGTTATGACATAGATTTTCCTCTTTTGAGCAGGTATGGTGTGATGTTGGCCACCCTAGGTTGGTTCAGAGGCCACTAGAAATTGCTTTGACTGGTAAGATGAGTAAGCGTTGTGCATGCTTTGAAGATTCTCAGTTGGGCCAACCTGGTTTAGAATTATATGAAGGTTGTGACTACCATGCTACCAGGTGCAAAGTATAGTCAGGAATCAAACACCAATGGGGGAATATTTTTTAGTATGCGAGTGTTTGATTTCTGTATATTAAAAGGTTAGTTTAGTTAAGTTGGTAATTATTTTGTACCTGGTTATATTTGGATGCATAGTTTAGTCAACTTTTAGTTGGATAACATAAGTTAGAATGACTAAAAATAATTTATTTATGAAAAAATAGAGACTATCTTAACAAAATATTTTATAGGGATTAAGTCAAAATTATGCAATTTTTATGGAGATCAAACAATTAATTAAGCCTATTTTCAATCGGGGATAATCACTTTTTTCTTACAGTCGGGTTTAAAATTTGTGCTATCTGTCTGCACTTTATAGTATACTATACTAGTTACTAGCCTCCTTGTGACCAGAAAACAAGTAATATATGCCTATATTAACATTAATGTACTTTTAAATAATAGGGTATTTCTTTGCTAAGAAATAAATCGATATAAATAATTGTTTACGTTGTGCTTGAAACATCAGATGATATAATTATTTTGACTCAATTTGAATTTGTATTACCTAATATGTAAATCCTCACGTGTTTGGATTTTATTGCGAAAAATAACAGATGAATTGACTTACAAATCAGTGTTCATGTTTGAAATATAGTAAGGATGACCTAACTGAATTATTTTAATAATTTTACGTTATTTTTCTTAAATGATCAATTAGATTAAAAGAAAGTAGCCGATTGAAATTAAATTTAATATTAAACTAGGCAATTTTATCTAGTACAGCAAAATGTTTGAAAAGTAAATGAAGAGCAAATGTAAGATTACTGATTCAAGCGGAAATGGCAAAAGGCATCATAAGTTGAACATAGCATGGAGATGAATGACTATAAAAATTAGTTCGGAAGATATTTGACTTATGGTATATGATAGACGTCTTAATTTTATCTTATTCTCAAAATTGAAAATGTTTCTAAACATAGTCAAGATTGGATTGCTCTTTCGTTGGTTCTTTTGTGATAAAAACCATGGAAATGATTACGACTACAAAGCTAAAACAGATAAAATTATGATAAAAAAAATAAAAAGTTACTCACTTCAACTTTAGTTTTCGACAAACTCCTAGATTTTGGACAAAATGTAAGGAATTCTTTCGCAGGGTCGGCCCTACATATATTTAGGTCTAAAGCAATTTTTAAATGAGGCATTTTAAATCAATTAAAAAATTTTTTAATTATTGTAGTTTTATTTAAAATTTATTCTTCAAACTTGTTGATATGTAAAATTATTTATTAATGTATCATAATTAATTTCATTTATCATTTCTTTCTCAATTGACCTTAAAGCTAATCCATTTAATTTTTGTTGAGAGATAATTAATCTTAAATAAGATCCAATTAATTCGAACTATCAGGTATTTTCTTTTCACGTGCCCGACAGCTAATATGCATACGGAATTCTGTTGATAGCTTTATAGAGGTTTATTTTATTCATGGTCCATGGTAGGAGGGAATTCTTATGCAATTCACAATTGTTTTTCCTAAAATTATAACAAAGTTTTACATTAAGTATTTGAATGCGAAAATAAAAAGAAAATTATGGTCAGTATAGATTTTCTCAATTAGGAGTTTGATCCTTATAATTTGACGTTTTAGATTGTATTTGTTATACTTTTATCCAATTGAATTTAAATTACTCCGATGAAAGTATTAATTTTTCCCACTAACTTAAATTTAAATCCTGCAGCTTCTATTAATTAGGACCTACAATGTTGGGTTAAATTGAAATCAACGAAAAAACTGTCTGAATCTCATAATTGAACTCGAGTTAGGTTAAATTGCGATTGATAAGATGTTTTTTCACCTATCCTTACATGATCAAATTAATATTAGGTCAAGTTGAATTGCTTTATAGAACAAAGCTCATTTTAAGTTAGGTCAGATAACCCAAAAAATTTAAAATAATCTTCTTTATACTTTTTTTTTTCAGGACATTTGATAGACTATAAAATATAGAAGAAAGCCTGAGAGAATAATTCCTAGAACGTGTATTTTATAAAGAAGGATCAACCATAAAAAGTCAAGTTGGTAAGCAATTAGGAAATTAGTCTAAATTTGAATTATATTCTTGATAGGAAATTCAACATCTAAAGGAGAGTTCTAAGATTGCTCGTAAATTATAATTTTTTTTATTAAGTAATAAAATTTTGTCTCATTCTTATCTTTAAATCCTAACAATTGGTCAAACTTGCCACATACAGTCCCATGTTAATAAGAATGAGTGAGAGGGTCAACATCCTCAAATTTAGAGTTTAGCAAGTGTAATTAGCGATGGGTGTTTTACACATTTTTGGTCATGAATAAATACAGTGACAAATAGAGTTTAGTAAACAAATGCAGAAAATACAAGGGATGCAACAAATGTTACTTAAGCTTTATTTTAGACTTTGGAGGAGGAAGGAAGAAAATGTTTTGACTGGGGAAGGAGAGGAGGAGAAGGGAAGGGAGGTTAAACCTCTTTTAATTTGGATATTTAATATTGAGAAGGGAGGGTAAGGAGAGTTTAATTATATAAATAAAAATATTATATTTTATATCTTTTATTTATATTTTTTTTAAAAATAAAAAATAATATTTTTCTTTCTCTAAAAAATAATTTTAAAATTTTTATATTTAATATTTTATTTTTTATAATTTTATTAAAAAAAATTCTTACTTGAAAAATTAATATTTTAAAAAAATGTTAGAATCCTAATTGTAAAAGAGTGTGAGAGAGAAAAACATCTAAATTGAAAAAACTCAAAAAACTAGTGTTACGAGGACTTTAGAGGCTTTAGAAAAACTCTCAAACCATTTCCCTTTTAATTAAATAACTCCCAATAAGGATTAAGTCCTCTTAACCCCTCCCCTCCTAAACACAATTGTCAAACATAATCTTAGAAAACTTAAAAAATTTAGCAAAATTAGAGGAGATGAAAATTAGAGTAATGGAACCTCACAAAATTATTAAATGGAGTGGTGGTAGTTTTGAGGAATTTCATTCTCCAACCAAGAAAGTGAACTTTCTAGCTTTCAATGGTGTTGATTCCACACAACATATTTGCAAGGTCAAGACATATTTTGAGATGCATAAGTGAAGTTGGTCAAGTTATACGTGGAAGGAACCACTAACTGGGTCAATTTGTGGAGTGAGGACAAAGAACCTACATGGGACAATCTCAAGCAAGCTTTGTTTGTTAGGTTTGGAGTAGGTCATCTTCACAATCTATTTGAAGGTCTTTTCCTCCAAATTACCGTGTAAAAATACAATTTTAATGTTTAATTGCAACAATGGTCAATGGTGAAAACCATGCCCAACAAAAGGAAGATGAAGGCCATCTTTGCAATTAGAGAAAAGTACACTATAATCCAACCCATAGACTTATGTATATCCTTTAGCCCAAGACCAGCATTTAAGATACATGTATATTGGAGTGTCAAATTGGGATTGCCTTAAAGGATTAGGTCGCTTAACCCATTAAAAATGGCAGGTTGGGCTGAATATTTTAGACCCACTTATCTTGCCTTGTTTTATTCTGCCAAAATGTAGGCCAATGGCAGGTTAGGCTGTCAAGCCCATTAAATATAATTTTTTATTAATATAAAAATATTTTTAATATTTTTTTGTTAATTTTAGGTGAACTAACCCAATAATTCATTAGCCTACCAATCCTTTCTTTTATATATATAATCTTTGGAGGGCTTGCTAGTTAGCCCATCAGCCTACCTTTAAACAGGGCGCAGGCTAGCCTGTTTTCAGGCGGGCTTTTGGCAAGGAAAAAGTGGGTCAGGACAATCTGGCCCATTTAATACTTCTATTTTAACAATAAAGTCTCATCGAGAACCTTTAACATGAGTGTAAGGTTGACATTTCATCATAATCGCATGACACCGTCGAATGTGATCAGATAAAGCCAATTATAAATTGGATGGAGGTTATAAGAAGAATGACTACCTTTACAGATATTGATGGACAAATAGATAGAGGTAGGTGGATTTGGAGTAAGAAAAGTGACCGCAACAAAAGTTGAATCACCAAGCTAAATTGCAGGAGTTAAATCATTGGGTTCAAGTGCAAGGGCTATTGTAGGACCTGGTCGCGCTCATAAGTAGTCCCAAATCATCATACACTAGGTAAGGAAGAATTTGGTACCTTTAGAGTTGTTCCTGTTGAGAGTGCATTGATGCTCTGGTGATCTCTTCTTCTGCCATATAGTAAGACGTTTCTGCGAATCTTCTCAATTCTTCTTTTATATAGTGTGGGGAGGGTACCTGCAAAAGACACTTCGATGGTAAAGTTAGATGCCAGTTTAAGTAATAAATGTTATCTTCTGTTTTAAAAGTCAATCATTTACCTGTACCTCTTACTTTCCTTTTATAGGTAATATTTTGGATTAATGGACTTCAATATTCAGCCCTGTTTTAAGCCTTTTACTTAAGTGGATAATTAACAGATTATTCGATTTAATCTATTTTACCTTAAACTAAGTTGTCTTAATTCTGACTAGATGGGTGTTCGTTCTTCTAGGACAAAGGGATACTCGAATTCCTTCTTTTGTCATGATGACCGAATATGATGTCTCATCCAGTACAAGAGTAGAAGGAGGAGACATTATATGAGTAAAATGAAGAACAAGCGATACCGGAAGACAGAGATTGATATATAGTGAGAGAATAACAACAATAACCACTATGTGGTGGGAGACAACGATAACCCTTTTGGACACAAGAGTAACCTTGGAAGACACACTTGATGGTATGAGTAGACATCTTATCACGACCTAAAGAAAGATTATGAACAAAACAAACACACCTAAAAACACGAGGAGAAACAATATAAAGAGAGTTCTTAAGATATAATACGAAATAAGAAATTTGATTATTTAGAATAACCATAGCATTTAATTTATTAAATACCCTACAATAAGTACAACATCACTCCAAAACTTTGAAGGTGCATTGGCACTTAGCAAGATAGTGCAAGCAATGTCCCTAGTATGTCCATGTTTTTTTTCGGTCATATCATTTTGTTGCGGTGTATAAGGATATATAAACTAATGCATAATTGCATGAGATTTCATAAAAAAATTCAAAAACAATCAAAGAAGTATTCTTTAGCATTGTCATGATGTAAAACAGAATTACTTGACCAAATTGAGTTTTTATTCTTGAATAAAAGTTTTGAAAAATATTGAATAATTCATAACGATCTTATATTAAAAATATCCAAGTGCAACATGAGAAATCATCCATATAAGTGACATAATACCTATATTCTAAGATAAACAAAACATGATTTGAACTCCCAAACATTTGACTGAATAAAATTGAAAGGAGATAAAGCTTGATCATTAGTAGGAAAGAAAGCTCTACATGCTTTCTAAGTTAACATGACTCACACTCTAAGATTCTAACTGAGATGATGTATAATTTTCTTCAATTTATCCAAACTTAGATGTCCTAACTAACAATGAAGTAGACTAAAAGATTTAACTATTACGTAGAAGTGGATGAATAAAGAAAATAGAGGCCATATAATTTAGATATTATTTTAACAGTTTATTTCATACTTTAATTCTATGTAAAAAAATAAATTAGAAGTAAAATGTCATGTCATAACACAATTCAACGAGCGAGTCAACTTGCTAATAAATATTAAATTAAAGAAACACTTAAAACTAATAAAATAATATTTAATTTATTTTGCTATATTAACTTTTCGTGTAATAATAATGATACTTATTTTAGTTTTAAAAAATCACAATTTCTATAATCTTGAAAATAAAAGCAACATATTCTTTTGATTTCAATCAATTTACGATAGATCACTTTTATTATTACATATCTATACTTACTCTTAAAAATAATATATTTTTTATAATAGAATTATTATAATTAATCTAATTACTACTTATTATCTCATTTAGTTAAATATTTATTCGTTTATAAATAAAGTAATTTATATGAACTTAATCTATAAATTTTTAAGGTTATAAAAATTTTATTAATCTATAAAGTTTTAAGATTATAAAAAATTTATTTTAATTTTAATATTTTATATATAATAATTTCAAAGACTAAAATAATTTTTTTATAAATTTTTTATGAAATGTTTTTTTATAATTTTAAGAACTAAATTAATAAAATCTTATAATTTTAGTTATTATCAATTTTTATATACAACTTGTAAGTTCAGATTTTTAAATACGTTATGAGTTATAACAAATCAGAGTATTTTAAAGGATTTATTATGTTGATTTAAATTTTATTTTTCTAATCTATTTTTCTTTAAAATTTATATTTTTATTTAATAGAATAAAATATTTATTATTTGAAGTCATAATGTTTTTAAAAATTTATAAAATTAAAAAATGGTCACATAATATTTTTAATTATTTAAATAAAAATTATTTTAACTTAATAATACCCCTATAAGTCATGAAAACATTATTAGTTTGATTTTAAAGTTTAACCATCTATGCAGTATTTCTGTAAATTATGTGAAAGAGTTTAAAAAGTATAATTCATTTTTTTTATGAATTTTAAAAAAATTAACTCATAATTTTAATTTGTTAAGAATATTTTTTTTAGAATAAATACAATTTTAGTTTATAATAATAAAAGTATCGGCTTTTTTTAATTAAATTTTTTTATTTACTTTATCTTTGGTAAATAATTATTTTAAACATAAAACAAACTACTATAATTTTTAGACATGATTTCATATATATATATATATATATATACAGTTTTACTGTACAAAATTTTATTTTCTTTGATACAAATTACCTTTAATTTAAACATACCTAAATATAAAATTTATATGATATAACTAATAATCACAATAACACTTATAAAATATTAATTATTAAAACATATATTTTTCCACGAATTCGAACAAACCGTAAATTTTAACCATAGCTAAATACTTATACTGGCATTGAAGTCGTATTTTGATTACTTGAAGACCAAATCGAGGAATTAAATAGAATCCGAAAAGGGGGTGGATTTCTTCTCTTCCTTTTGATCAGAAAGAATTGTGGGTCAGTTACGATAAAATTCTATTCCTTGCGATTAGAATTTGTGTCGGATTGAACACAAACGAAGGTAAACATGGGAATGAAACAAGTGATTAAAAACCTTGACGCTTTTCCTCGCGCCGAGGACCACTTGTTGCAGAAAACTCAATCTGGGGCTCTTGGTATTTTATTCTTCTCTCATATGAATATGAATGCCCTTTTTTCTTTTTAAGTTAATTATTTGTGGCTCTTCTTCAATTTATTGCGTTGCAGTGTCCATAATTGGTCTGATTATAATGGCCACATTGTTCGTGCACGAGCTCGGTTATTATCTTACAACTTACACCGTCCACCATGTAGGTTCCGTTTTTCATTTCACTTGTGAGTTGAAATGGACAATACAACTGATGATTAAAATTGAGGTCCATGAAATTAATTTTGAACAGTTATGCGTCAAAATTAATCTTACTCTTAGGTTTTTATTAAAACGTGTGTGTCGTTGGAAAAATTAATATCCATATGGTTTTCACTTACACTCGCCTTTTGTAGATGTCAGTAGACTTGAAGCGAGGAGAAACTCTTCCGATTCATATAAACATGACATTTCCTTCCTTGCCTTGTGATGGTTAGTGCGATCTTTTTGTCTATTTGAAGTTGCTATGTGGTGGTGTTGTGTGTGCTCTCAATTCTAAACGTTTTTCCTCTGTTCTGTGGACAGTTTTAAGTGTAGATGCCATTGATATGTCGGGCAAGCATGAGGTTGATCTTGATACAAACATATGGAAAGTAAGTCCGTTTGTAGTTTACAATATGTCTTGTTTGAAATATCTAGAATATCTAGAAGTATGTATTTGTATGTAGTGATAATGTGATAAATATACATCATCATTGAGATGCATCCTGAAGAATATCGAAGGAGCTTCACAAATAGGCCTCATTTTTTTAAAATGAGTACCACACTCAGACTGTTGGATATTTTGATGCTGATTCGGTAGGTTCTCCTACCGATAGAAGTTCTGCTTATGGGTTTTTTTTGTTATACTAGTCAATAGCATGAGACAGTATTGCTATCCATGTTGTGTTGTTGTAGCTTGGTTAATTTGGCTGTCTTGTTGTGGAGTGTTTCAGGGGTGCTGATATTGCTGTGATTTTGCCAATTTACAGTTGTAACTTGTAACAGTCACTTCAACAATAATGGACATAATATCCATTATGCCATATTGCTACATAATATTTTTGGGGTTTGCTTACTTTTTTCTGCTTTTGGCTCTTGACTATTTCGTATTGTGAATTCATTGGGTGGATAAACAAAATGTGGTTGCAAGATCAAGTACCAAAATAGAATATTGAGCCATGATCTCGATCACTTGTAGACTCATTTAGTTGAAACAACTGCTTTAAGATCTTCAATTTGGGGATATTATTCAAATGATGCTAATTTATGAAAACCAAGCTGCTTTGTGCATCCACTCTAATCCGATGTTCCTTTAGAGGACCAAATATATTGATTCAGATTGTCACTTTTTTGGAGAGAATATCCTATTTAGAGATACCACTTGCTTTGTCAATTCAAATGATCAACTGACAGATGTTTTCACTTAGCTCTTGAGAAGTTCTCAAATAAATTTTATCTGGAACAAGCATGGCACACATGACCTATATGCACTAGCTTGAGGGGAAGTGTTGAGAGCATCATTTATGTATACAAATCTAGATTCATTGTATGTGCTAGAGTCTAACCAAATCATGTGCTTATAATAATTAGGAAATTGTATCATTGCTTTTATTACATTAATTTGATATATTCAGCTTTTGTTGGTAGTTGAGAGTCACATTGTCCAATTTATGTATTTCTTTTTCTCTGCTTACTCTCAACCTATATTAAAAATTATAAACTTGTAAAATGTGCTCAGTAGTTGTTACTTGTTTGTAAATAGCCATAAAGTTGTGTGTCAAGTATATTTATCTAACCATTTTTGGTTTTCTTTTTAATCCTGTTATCATTAACAATTGTTTACTCTAATATTTTTGGACTTGATGCAGCTTCGCTTGAACAGTTATGGCCAAATAATTGGAACTGAATATATCTCTGATCTTGTTGAAAAGGAACATGCCACTCACAAGCATGGTAATTTCTTGTTGCATTATGTTTATAGTTTTGAAACTTGAGTTAGTTTTCACATACTGTATTTGATTGGGTTCCATTCATTTACTGACTGTTAGGTTCATTTAATTCTTTTTCCCTTTGGATGATAAATATATCCTCTTCTACAATACTTTCTATATGGTTTTAAATAATTAGTCATACATGTTGGGCTGAAGATCTTAGTTAAAGGATGCTTGAGAGGTTTCATGTCCTTCCAGATTTACCTATTTTAGTAGAATAGACACATATATAGTTATCTGATGCTTGGCAGTTGGAAACTGCTACATATAAAAATATTCATATGCCTTCATCCAATAGATTAAGCTTTTGGGGGAGTAGGTTCTTGACATGGTATTTGAGCTTCTATGATCACGTGAGCTGCAGTTCAGTCCTTCTCCCCATTCTTTTGTATAAAAGTTAAACTCAGCACAAGGATGGATGAGCCTATGCATTATCCGTTGGTTCAGTCCTCGTCCTTTGGTGAAAGCAAAATGCTGTCATTTTTAATAGAATTGAGATCTCCTATTGTGGACTTTGAAAAAAAAAAAATGAATTTATCTTTATTTTCAAGTTTCTTTTCTACTTCTCTCCCTTGGCTGGTATCTTGTGTGGATTCTGTTTCAGATTGGTTAGAGAATTCAATTGAATCCTTTTGTATTGTGTTAGGTAAAGGAAGGGATATTGGAAGGAAAATGGAGGGGATCCCAATGATGAGTTTTTCTCATATTCTCCCCCTGGACATAATTATTGGAAAAGAAAGGATGGTGTTCAAGAAAGATCTTCATAGGATATGTAGAACCATTTGGAATGGGGGCAGTGGCATTTGTACCCTTTTATGTGGGAGAATAACCAAGGAAAATGCATTTAAGGGACCTTGGATCAAGTTTTGCTCATGTAGGACTAGATTTATGGATAAATTTGAATATAGAGTACAACCAAGTTTTTTTGGTGGAAGAGACTCAAGCATCTTGATTGAAGGAGAATTTCTTTTAGACAATTATGATGAGTTAAAAATTGAACAATTTGGATGGAAGCTGGTTTTATATGAAAGGTAGAAGGTGGCACAACTTCCCCCCAAAAATGGTTTGGAATGTTTGATGTGAATGTGAGAGAGTGAGCAACCTAAAGAAGTGCCAATTTTTCCTTTTAGCAATGTCGTTTTGTTGAGGATTATTGTTGCAAGAATTTTGATGAAATATGCCATGTTCTTGTAAGTAATCTTTGAAATCATTAGAAAGATATTCATTGCCATTGTTAGAATGAAGAATGTGAATTGTTGACTGAAAAACATTGGTGACAAGTTTATGGAAACCATTTGAAGATATTGCTTGTTTCAGATATTCCTTTAAGAGACAAACCCAATGGACTTGTGCATGGTCATCGATAAAAGTAATAAACCATTTAGCTCCAGTAGTATTAGGGACTGAGTATTCTGCAATATTTTGTGACTGCACTCATTTCTTATTTCGTATTTGACTAATTATGTGTTGTATTGGGTCTTAAGTCTTTGAATTTTGAGTTTATGTTTAGTCAAATTATGTGCTTTAGAGGTTATTTATTTATCTATGTTATTTTCTATGTATGTATATGTTTAAGCATAGTTTTGAACATTTAGTAGGATCTTACGATCTTTGTTACGATCACACAATTTATGATCTTGGACCCCCCCTCCCCGATCCTACGCAGGATCCAGAGATTTTGACAACATTGGTGAGGCCTGATAAGGATGAGGAGGATAATTATTTCAAGATTGTTTTGTAGTAATACGATGTTCACAACTGAAAGAGGAGATATCTTTATTGATGAATAAATCAGAATATAAATATTTTAAATAATTGAAATTAGGATGGCCAACATGATGATGCCATAGAAGAACATTGGAATCTGCAACAGTTTACAAAGAAATGTTTTGAGGAGAATCCAGCCTTGATAGAGAACTAGAAACATTGTAGAGGCCATTGTGTTCCTTAGAACTGCCAATCGTCATTCTTGAAGACAAATCCTGAAAAATGCAATGTGAAGGGTAAATAATTATTGCATAGTGAAGATCTTTGGTTAATTTGCTGGCGAATATAAGACTAATCAGTGTTGTTAAATGGCGGAAAAGCTTGAAAAATGGTAGTTTGCATGGTTTGGGCCCAAACCTGACCTAGTCTAGAGGCTGACCTGCGTAGAAAAACCTAAGGTAAGTCCCTCTTCGTCACTCAAAAACACTTCTCCCCTCATCTCAGATCTCTTTCTTCTTTGATCTTTTTCATCTTTGCTCGTCTCCGACATCATTCTACGCTCACCTTCTCCGATCTCTGTCTTCTCCGACGTCACTCATCTCATATCTCTCTCTTCTTTGATCTGTTATTTGTTTTGTTGGGTGCCACTGTTCTGTTCTCCATCTCCAGCGACCTCAACTTCCATTTCCAGCAACTAGTCCTTCAAATGAGGGAAGGGAGCCACCCCAAACCAAAGACAGAGACAGCCCACTAAAAGAGAGAGAGAGGGAGATGGATATTAGAGAAGATAGCTCGAATAGAAGTGAAGAAAGAAAAAAGGGTTAGGGAAGTAGTGTGATAAGACTATTTTATTTACCCTTAAAAAAACTTGAAAACATAGGGCAAAAAGGGAAAGCTAAATTTTTTTAAAAGGAAAAAGTCTTTTTACTTTTATAAAACCCTAAAAACTGTGGGACAAAAAAGAAAAGTAAACATTTTAAAATATTAATTTCGTATTGAATTATGGGTGAAGTTACTTGTGTTTTGAGTTAATTTTTTTTTTCTATTTTCTTATTACCTATATATAATATTTTTTATATATTTATTATAGCTGCCATAATTCTGCCATAACCCGCCATGGCAGCCGCCATAACATTGAGACTAATACATGAGTTCAAATTTCAATTCTAATCCTGATAAATTTAGATCACCAATACCAGCTACCAATGTTGAATTACCGTGAGCTCTTGTAATAGTGAAACCTCTATCAGCTTGCTTGTATGACATGAAGTCAGTTCCTAATCTTGTGATATGGTCAATGGCACTGAAATCAAGGATCCACTCTCTTGTATTCTCATGCCTAGACAAGAAAGTAATCTGACCATTACTTCTGTGAGCAGTGTTTGCTTCAGAAGTGGAGGGTGCAATTGCTTTGAGTTTGTGTTGAGAGAGCAAATTCTTCAACATATTCAGCTGCTCATTGGAGAAGAGTTGTTTCTTTGAATCAGTAGATTCAACATGAGCATATGCTATAGGCTTGTGCTAACTTCTAGGTTTCCAATCTGCAGGTTTACCATGAATAATCCTGTGTGTATCCTTGGTGTAATACGGTTTTTGACAATGATCACACCAAGTTCTTGCCTCTTTGGATGCAAAGCCTTTGACTCGTTTACGCTAGTGACAAGATCTGAGTTTAGCTCAGCATCTTCAGTTGTAGAGTTTGTCTCCAGCATCACTATCCTTGGACTTTCTTCCCTTCTAACTGTAGCAAAGTTTTCCTTGAACAATGGTAGTGGCTTAAGGCCAAGGATTCTATCTGGCGCTTCATCTAACTCTTTGGTAAGACCCTAGAGGAGATAAAAAAACTCTTTCCAGTATTTGGTCATATGATATTTTATCCTCATAACATTTTCGAGAAATGGTATAAAACAAGTCTATTTCTCGCCACAACTCAACTGACATATTAAAGTACTCAGTTATAGAGTTGTTATCTTGTTGAGTGTTACAAAGAGCTGACCTGATTTTAAAACATTGTGCAAAGTTTTGGATAAATAATATTTTTGAGAATTTGGTTTTTGATCAAGATCAATGGCATCGTGTGATCTATGTAGCCAACCTCACCTAGTGCGTTAAGGCTTGGTGGTTGTTATTGTGCAAAGTTTTGGAGGTCTTAGCGCTTCTCTTGAACGGTTGTCCAAATTTCATGGGTTTTGCAGGAAAGGTATGTTCTGCAGATTTTTGGATCCACTGAGTTGATCAGCAAGGCCTTAACAATGGAGTTTTCTACATTGAAAGCTATGGCATTGTTGTAGAAAAACCTTGCAATTGCTTGACATGCATCCTTCCTTATACCCATCTTGAATATGCTATTTATTTTGGCTTGCGCACTAACCACCTTTTTCTTGGAAAATTGTCTGATCCCAGCACTCTCAACTTCAGTGGCTTTTCTCTTTTCACCAATTTCTAGAGTCCTCTTTGTTAGCTGTTTATTTATTTATTTATTTTTATCAAGGAAGTAATAATCTCCATCATCTCCTTATTCACATCTTCAGGAACAGATTTGCAAGGTTCAACATTTTGATTTGTTTTAGCCAAGTGGTGCTTTAAGCAATAAACACCTCTATTTAGTACCTTGTGACAGAACTTGCACTGAACCTTCACAGTTCCTTGAACTGAATCCATATTTCCATTCCACATCACCCCTGCTTTCATGAGCATTCCAGGGAACCAACATATGAGGCACACTTGAAGAGCCAACAGCAGTGGAGCTATGGGTTGCAGCTGGGACAGACCCAGAACTGCCACCATGACTCTTTTTTCCCTAGAAATTATATATTATATTCTAAATATGTAACTGCCTACTCCAATAATTGCACATTACATTCTGAATACATAACTACCTACTCCAATAACTGTCACACAACATTTAATTTTAATTCCTATGCCTCCTAGAATAAACCTGTAGCACAGGTGGTTTGATTGGATCCATGACCCTACCATCACCCCTCTCTTGAAGATCAGCCTTGTCCTCAAGGAAGAAATCGGGAAACTGTTGCTGCATAAGAAATTGATCTTTGCATGTAGCATGCTCAGTTGCAAGACCTTTCCAATGTACCAAATACTGCATGATCTGTTTGCCTTTATTTATCACCAAACGGCTATCTAAAATCCCTTCTGGCTGCACCTCATCCACTGGTTAAATAATCAGATTACGGGGCAATTCAAGTTCTGCAAAATAGGAACCAACAACTTTCCAAAGCTGAGAAACATGAAACACTGGATGAACTTTGGAAGTAGCTGGAAGCTTCAATTTTTAGGAAACTTCACCATGTTTCTCTACAATCTGAAAGGGACCATAAAAACGTGGTGCTAACTTTGCTGTTTATGAAGCCAAAGCTTAAAAAAAAACCAAATCTCCCATTGCAAATTGCTGATCTTTTCTCTTATCTGCATAACACTTCATCTGGTCTTGTGCTCTGGTCAAATGGTATTTGATTTGATTGAGTGCTTCATCCCTTTCTTGCAATTCATGTGCAACCATCTCCACTTTTGTTTGCCCTTCCACAAAGCAAATAATATTGGGGGGCAGTCTGCCATACACTTGAAAAGGTATTGTTCTTGTAAAAACATGGAAGGTGGTATTGTACCACAATTCTGTCCAAGGAAGCCACAAAGACCAACTCCTTGGCTGTTCTGAAGAAAAACAGCATAAGTAAGCTTCTAAACATCAATTCATAACTTCAGTTTGTTTGTCAGTTTGTGGGTGATAAGAAGAAGACATTGTAAGACAGTGCCTTGCAACTTAAACAATTCCTTCCAAAAGTTACAAATAATGAGGAATTACATGCAACTCAATTACCTCTGACAAAAATAGCAGCCACACTTTGAGTTGTGTATGGGTGTTTTAAATTAATGAAGTGGAGATACTTAGACAACCGATCAACAACCACCAAAATAGTATCAAATCCTTTAGATTTGGGAAGCTAGTGATGGAACTCCATAGAAATGTCCTCCCATATTCTTGTAGGAATAGGAAATGGCTGTTACAAACTACTTGGAGTAGTGGCCATATATTTTTGCCGTTGACATGTCACAAGATCACACAAACTTCGTGACAGATTTCTTCGTGTGGTACAACACAGATTTCCAGCCAATCATCTGTATCTTTGAAGATAACCAGTGTCCACTAGTAGGAGAATAGTGGAACTCTTGTAATAATATAGCAATGCGAGAGGATTTTGAAGGAATCACCAACCTATCTTTGTATAATAAAATTCCATTATATAGGAATAATGTGGATGAGCTAATGGATTTGTCTTAAGTTAGAGATGATTTCCTGTAATACAGGATCCTGATGAACTTCCTCATATATGTCATGCCCTTGAAGCCAAATAGGAGTAGAAATGATAGTTCTCAATTCAACAGCTTCATTAATTCTTGAAAGCAATGTAGTTAGTATCCTACAATTCACGATATAATTCTAACGATTCGATTCATTAGCCCAGGGATACAAATCGTATGGCAAAATCAATTTAATGTTTGAATCATTGCCGGAATCACTTGAATTGGGGCTGAATCGTGAATCTGGACAGCGGCATACAATTCCTTTGCAAACCAGGTTGTGCTTGAACCACGTACCTGGTTCACTAAAACCCTAAAAAAAAAAGTTTTTTCTTTTTGTTTTTTTTGCGAAAAGGGCAGTTTCAACTTGTTACTCCTTCTGCTGATCAATCCATTGTTTAATATTAAGAGAAAAGCCTTGTTTTCTCATTCCCGCCCCTGCTGCTCCCCTTCTCTGCACTGTTTCATGTTGTTCTCTGTCTCCTAGTGCTTTATAGTTTATTTTGGTTCATTCTCTCAACTTCTCCCTCCCTATTCAAGATTTCTGGTAGTCCCCCCTGCCATTGCAACTGTTCCTATTTTTTATTTGTTTTCTCCTCCTCTTTTGTTGGCTGTCTCCTATTGTTTTATGTCACATTGTTAGCTATATACTATTTGACTTCAAAAATGTTAATATATTAGATGTTTTGATGTTTCTTTATGTTACAATGCTCTTATATTTTTGTTTTTTATGTTTTAAATTATTGTTCATGAATCTTATGATTCAAGATATGATTCAATTCATGATTTAAAAAATAGGTCTTACGACTCACAACTTGAATCCCAATTTAACTACCTTGCTTGAAAGTGCATGCTGCCTATTCTCTTTCCCTGGCTTGTAAACTATATCAAAATGAACTCACAACAATTTAGCCATCCAATATTGTCAGTTAACTGTGGTAATGAGTTAGGGTAGGGAGGAAGCACTGTTCTCTGTAATTGCAATTTTTCCCTAATTTTTGTGATAAAATACTTCATTCGTAAAAATCTTATTTTTGTTCACATGTGCTGTAAATCATATTCTTCTAAATTCATATTGTGGATTTACTTGTGTAGTGTTCTTTGTTAAACATTTCATTGTGTATCTTAATAACAAGCATAAGTTTCAGAGTTTGTCCACATGCATTCTTGCAAAGTTATTTTCTGTGTCACTTACAGCCTTTTAAAAACTGAACAGATGATAAAGATCATCATGAGCATTCAGAACAGAAGATTCATTTACAGAACTTGGACGAATCTACTGAAAATATTATCAAGAAGGTGAAGGAAGCATTGCAAAATGGGGAAGGATGCCGGGTATATAGTCTGAAGTTACTCTATCATGAATTATTTTTTGTGGCATTTTTTGTCTAACCTAGAAAACGCTTATCATTTTGTTTAGTTCAATGCAGGTTTATGGTGTTTTAGATGTTCAAAGGGTTGCTGGAAATTTCCATATTTCGGTGCATGGACTAAATATATATGTTGCACAAATGGTAAGATATTACCTTCTATATTAATTTACCTCGCTTTAATATTAAAAAAAAATGCATATTATATTTCTTTGACTAGATTTTGCTAATGCTTACAGGTGTACGTATCTTTAATAGAATGAAAGGAGCCTTAAACTTTAATAAAGATTAATATTTCTTTGAATTCATTTTAAATTTGTCCCAAATTTTCATGAATGAGTAAATAGAGTACATGAATGTTGAAATGCAGAAAGAATTCCATTTCATTTTGCATCACTTTCTCTCGGAAACTATTTAAGGCATTGCTTGAATCCCCCTTTCGTTGTGCCTTCAGGTAGTTGAATGATACACTCCCATTTGCATTCATACGTGTCTGTTTTCTATTATTTCTGTTATGGTGTTCATCAGACACCCATAAACCATGACCTAGTTCTAATTCCAATTTATCAGGGATAAATTTTCCTTTTCTAGTCTTAAATAGCATTGGGCAGATAAATATTTTCCAATGTGACTTTTAGTGGCTTGTATCAGATCTTTCTGTCAAAAATTTGTTTACAAAGATTCTTATCAAATTTGTGATTTTTTCTATTGGTATCAAATATTTAATTTAGTTGTCATGATTTTCTGCAGATCTTTGATGGAGCAAAGAATGTGAATGTAAGTCACATAATCCACGATTTGTCATTTGGCCCCAAATATCCAGGACTTCACAACCCACTTGATGACACAACAAGGATTCTGCATGATACAAGTGGAACATTTAAATATTATATAAAGGTTTGTGATTTTGACTCTTTCTTGAATAATCTTTAAACCTAGCCTAACTATTAGTGCAGTTTGCTATGATTATTTCTCCAGGCTCCTCTTTGATAGGTTGCTGAATGCCAATTTATTTATTTTTCTTCATTAGCTAGATTGGTTCTTGTCTTCCTTCTAATGAAATGGGCTGTTAAATATTTGTTGTGCCCTCTTAGTTATTGAATACATGGTCTTTCTCTGGCAAACAAAATTAAGATTGTGCAGAAAACCATGTCTTAGGTAACATCACACTGACCTAAGAAAATCTTTTCCATTCTCTCTGGTGCTATATTTAATCTGCTTTTCGAACCTTCATAATCTTGTGAGGTTCACTCTCTTGAATTTTGTTAGAACCAGTCAATCAAACACTTGTAAAGTAGCTGTGTGAAGTCAGAATTTGTAATTAGCAGTAAAAATTTTGATTATTCAGTTATTTACTTATTTATGGCACTACAAAATATAAACATTCATAGTTATCAAAAGTGCACTATAGCAGTATAGCAGGGAATTTTTGAATTGATTGCAGCCAAAATAGTAGCGATAGTGGCTAGTGAGGCTTTTCGAAAACCCATTTTTGCCCCCAAAACAACGTTGTTTTGTGGGCCTTTTTAAGGGCCGAAGTCGTGATTTCTCTCTGTTGTGTAGTCCTTTCCTTTCTCTCATATTTTAAAAGGTCAAACCATAGAAGCCCCTATATTTTAGTTTGGAAATTATTGGTGATCTAGATAAAGATAATTTCTTCTGTAACATTTTTGGGGTGGGCCACTGTGCACTGGTATTTGAAATTGTTAACTATGACATCTATCTATCAATTGCCAATTTTTCCTATGTATCACTGTTGGGTTTTAGAGATAGGGAAAACACTTGGACCAATGATACACATCTAGTGCAAATTGTCAAGTAACACTACTGACACAGTATAACTGAGTGAGAAGCTTACTAAGCTTGCATTTTCTTACCAATAAAACCATAAAGAAAAATTAAAAATTGGCAATTGAACCCTATCAGAATTGTGACCAAGGACCCAATTGAAAATAAATTAAAAATTCAAGGACCTATGCAATCTTCTGAAGTATATGGACTTATTTACAACATCCCGAAGAGTTCAGGGACCTACCAAGTAATTTAACCATAGAAAAGAAAAGAGAACACCAAGATCTAAAAGAATTCAACCCTTGTGAACTAATGACTTTGAATGCTTATTATAGAACATGGTTTGTTGCTTCTAGTTTATGAATGTACAATTTTAAAGTGAGACTCCCTTTGAATAAATTAAGAATTTTAACTGGAAATATTTAGAGCTTGTTTTTTGTTTGCCAGATTTGGGTCTGGTCTTGGTTCTGGTTGTATAGTTAATTGTATTAAAAACTACACATTGTTTAGTGTAATTTGTTTTTATATTTACAGTAACTATCAGTTGCAAAATTACCTTTTCTAGATTAGCATATCTCCTAATTCATATTCATATTCATATTCATTTACCAAACTTCTTTCTTGACCCGCCATGATTAAATAAATCTCATTTTAAATGCCTAAGCCCAAAAAATCTGCAACCCCTAAAGTTAGAATTGGGGTACTGTTCATAATCCTAGAGCAGCCCTTAATCTAAAATAGAATTTAGTGATTTCCATTGTAATTTCTGCATTTTTTTTTCTTTGGTAAAATTCATATATTTCTAAAACTCTGATGCAGGTTGTTCCAACTGAATATAGATATATCTCAAAAGAAGTTCTACCAACTAATCAGTTCTCTGTAACAGAATATTATTCCCCCCTTAATCAGTTTGATCGCACCTGGCCAGGTTGGGTTTTTTATGTTTAACATAGCCTTTGTTCATTTCTGGGTCTCTAGGTTTTGAATATCGTTTCCCATTTATTCCATGTATGCAGCTGTCTACTTTTTGTATGATCTATCACCTATCACTGTCACAATCAAGGAAGAGCGCCGCAGCTTTCTTCATTTTATTACTCGACTTTGTGCTGTGCTAGGTGGAACCTTTGCTGTAACAGGTTTGTCCCATAATTACTGATTCTGTACCACATGTATATGATCATTGTATCTGGACAGTTGATCTATATTTTGCCGTGCAAAAAGTAAGTTGTATTTTCAGATACAACAATAACAACAACCATCAAGTCTTATCTCAATAGGTAAGTTAGGTTACATAGATTATACGATGCTATTGAACTTGGTCAAAAGCCAAATTTTTTGAAATTTGATTAATCAAAAGGTCTCTTTTAATAACTTTATCTAAGGTTCTTTTGGGTCTTCTCTACCCCTTTTTGTCAAACTAAAAGTGATGTAATCAACTCTTCTCACTAGTGGTACCTTCAAAGGTCTTCTCAAACTACCTTGGACAGTTTTCAGTCATTTTCTCTACTATAAGTGCTACTCTAATATTCTCACATAAACTATCATTCTTGAGCTATCCTTACTTGTGCAACCACTTATTCATTTTAACATTCTTATTTCTATTACTACTTTATTTTTATGTTGTTCCTTTAAGGCTTAATATTCACTACCATGTATTGCAGTACAATAAAATTTCCTTTTAGCTTGACAATTACTTTACAGTTACAAATAACTTCTCATGCTTTTTTTCCACTTTAACTACCCAACTTGTATTTTTAAATACTGCAGAAAAAATAAAATAGAAAAGCTCCGGTAATATGATTATATATTCTGATTTAGCATATTTAATGTCAAATCGTGTAAGTTTAGATAATTCAATTCAACTGCTAATATGGTGATATAATTTCAACACACGGATTCAATATTTTCTCTCTCAACAGTTTCTTTCGCTCACATTCCATTTACATCAATAGGGATGCTGGACCGATGGATGTACAGACTTCTTGAAGCATTAACTAAATCAAAGTCTAGACGGTAGATCATGAAGTGATTACAATTTCTAGCAACTCCCCCTACATATCCAACCATGGGATTTCAGGATTGTAAGGAATTTATTGCCCCCAAAGATTAAGATATAGAGGTGGCATAGTTGAATCAAGCATTAACTTTTAAACTTCATATGTATTCATGCAGTTCCTTGTATTGTCTGCCATCAATGACTAACCGATCGTATTCTCTCATCTTTTGGAATGGATGTTTTGGGGTTCGGTTTGACTGTGGACAGCGTTGTCTTAGCTACTATACGTGTGGAATTGCTCTGTAAAACTCAAATTTTGAATGTTAATTTTTTCCTTGTGCAACTCCACGTGTGGAATTTCCTGAATATATTTATCCCAAACTAGTGCATATTTGGCTAGTTCTCTCTTCTCTTCTACCGTGAGCAAATGTGGAAAGTGAAAAAATAAATATTTGTTCAATGTTAATTTAAAGTTTATTAAATGCTGGTTTCTGTAATGACTAAAACATAGTTTGCAAGGAGATTCCGATTTTTAGGGCCTGACTAGTAGAGTTTATTAACGTAATAAAAATTTTGTATTCACCGAACTTTTGTTGCTAACGTGAATACAGAGTCAAGAGAAGAAAAGTTATTGATTGAAAATAATAGAAATACTTTTTAACATTTTCACTTTGTACGTTGTTCATTTCAAGAGTCAAATCTTGAATACACAAACATGATAGTAGAATAAAATAATTTTTCATAGATTAGGTAAACATTTTAAACACATTGAATTCATTGCATTTGATAGCAATTAATAAGCAGTGGATTATTATTATTATTATTATTATTATTATTATTTACATCATCAGTTGAAAATGGGTTACAAAATATATTAAATTATTTTATATATTTTAATATTTAAAAATATTTATATTTTTTCTGTAAATTAAAAATAAATAACTTGTAAAAAGTAAAAAAAATAAAATTAGAAAATATAAATATAAAAGACAATTTTATTATTTTATATATATTTTTGTCATATCTTTCTTTCTATCAAATATGCATAAAATATTCATACTTTTATCATATTATAATCTTATCTTATTCTTCTTGATCCTATTCAAGCTACCAAACGAGCCATTAGATTGAAGGTCTAGGAGGCATTTAATGTAATACTAAGTGCATTCAAATAATATATTTCAAGTAACTAATTCAATTTTTATAAGATTTATAATTTAATGAATTAAAACTCTTAGATTAGATATTTATTTTTAGAGAATTTAAAATTTTAAAAATTTTGATAAGGGATTAAGATAAATAGAATTATAAGAATTTTAAATTCTAATAAAAAATGAGAATTAAACTCATAAATTTTACTTGGTATTGCAAATCTCCTTAATGTGTAAAATTCATACATTAGTCAATAGATAAATTTTTATTTAAATCAAACGTAATCTTACATTTAGATTGAATTTCATTAGATATTTTACTTGTTTTAAGTTACTTGTTTAATGCATTTGCCACGTAAGGAAGTAGATTTTGGAGATGAAATTTTGATAAATTGAAGGAAGAAGATGGAGCTTACGAGATCTTGAAGTTTGGAATTGGAAGAAATTGTTTTAAGTAGCGAAGTACAGAACTTCCTGTTTCAAGGGACACACTTGTGTTCTGGTTTGATTTGAAGGAAATGAAAATTGGCCTATAACTAGTGAACACAACCAGGTTGTGTTGAAAACACCCGTGTTTAGTAGCTGCAATATTTTGGTTCACACCAAGGTGGAAAGGCCAAACCTGAGTAGCGTCAAAACTGAACTAAAATAAGAGACAACAAAATTCTTCATATTTGTGAAAGATTGATCTCAACCAGTGGAATCAACTGTTGCTGGAGGAGCTATTGTCGTTGGTTCTGCAGCGTTTGCAGTTGATGATGCTGTCTTTGATGTTCTTGCTGCTGCTGAGCACGATCATGGTGTTGCTGCTGCGTCGTGTTAACATACTGATTAGAAGATTGAATCTGCCTTCTTGTTCTCCATCTAATATATTCCACAAGCAGAGTATTCAAGCTTATTGAAATCCCAAATCCAGTGAATGAGGAGAGAAGAACTGAGAGAATGGCATTGACATTAAGCTACAAGTACAAAGAGGTGTGTGTTAAGATATCTTTATAGTTTTGCTCTTACCACACTCAATGACCTATTCATTAAAGTGAGGTGAACAAACATGACAACATCAAGACAGGATAAACTAAATAATCTTACTATAGTATAAAACACATGAGCAAACAGGATGATAATTGCAAACTGGAAGCAAGCATAAGCCCACATGTAACTGCCACTAACTGCCACCAAAACAAGCACGAGATTTCAAAATTTGTTAACACTGAATGTAGAGGGAGAGAATTTAGAGAGAAAGAGAGAACTAAGAGAATGAGACAAACTTCTCAGCCTTACCAAACAGAAGGATATATCGTACAGCAGAAACTACCCATTTCTATAACCACACATCATACAATTAAATAACTGTTAAATAAATGCCCTATTACAATTAAACAATTGCTGCAGAAACAATAACTGTTACATAACTGTAATTAATTAAATATTGTTGCATAATTGCCCTTACCATATAACTCTACTCTATCATTTACTCTGGCCTTCTATTTTCTTATTTCTCCTAGAGTAAATAAGCCACGTTTTAGGATTATTCTCTGCACAATCCAGAATTTGAATCAAATCTTGATCATGGGTTCTAACAGCTTATTATTCAGTAGAATGTGTAGTATACTGGTTATGCAAGACATCCATATGTATAACTATAGGCTGGTAATAGACTTATTTTAGTGGAGACTATTTCTTAGGCTAAAATTGAGTGCAACTTCCTAAACACCAGTACCCATGAATACTAAAGCATTTTAATATTTTATCAGGTGATACGTAAACATATTATTTCCTAAGCACATAAATTATGATTATTTCCAATAGTTAAAACACATTAATCATTATTAGTTAACAAATTTTTATGTTAATGAAAAATTAATGTCAATAAATAAGTGTTTAATTTAGTACGTACCCATCGTACCCTAACTCTAATGAAGGGGAAAATTACAGGGAGTACCTGGTGCTATTCCAATCAATTTTCATGCTCAAAGTAAAAGAACAAATGCCAACATTTGATTTATATAACAACTCTATCTTTTTAACCAAATTCTAAGGGTGTGTTGGAAAGACCTTATGAAAGTAGATTAAGTTTAAATAAATAAATAGTTCATAAAAATATACTCCTTTTCAAAAATAGTCTATAAAATTTTTAAGTTAATTTTAATCTTATAAAATTTATTTTTTTGAAAATAGTCCTTAGTCTATATCGTTACTGCAAGTCACTAAAAATATAAAAATTTAGTTTCCCGTTATTTATATATTAGATAACAAAAATCTAACCACATAGTTATTTTTTTATATTTTATTATTTAAAAATTAACTTTTTTAAAAAAGTTTGAAAAAATATTTATATTACTTTAAAAATTTAATAATTAATCTAAATCACATTTTTTCACTCCTCTCCCTCTATCCACCATCAATCTCTCTCTCTGAGTTGTGAAAACCTAACTTCATTTTTAGCTTCACTAGTTGCTCATCAATTCCGTTTCCACCCGAAGACAAATTCCCATCCTTCCAAATTCGATGTTGCTCGTCCCCTTTCCATGACAAAACTCTCATTTCCATTACTAGTAAAACCCCCAACTCAATAACCCTCTCGGCCTGTAGCTTGCACACTGCCCAGTATGGAGGTGCTCTCTTTTAATCTTAATGTTACAACAAAGCAAGCACATTATCCATGAAAAATTCCAGAAAGCACACTAATCAATTTTCTCAAGGAATCAGAAAAAAAAAAAAAGAGGAAGGAACCAGAGAGCCTAGAACATTCTAGAAACTCCAAAATGTGGCATCTATGGATGCCTCTAGTTCCTAATTTGACTAGGTGGTGTAAATGACGACGTTTTGTGCAGCCTAAGATGGCGAGAACGCGAGCAACATGAGCTCTGGCATGATCCCAAATCCTTTGGTGGCTTCCATAGCACTCCCTTGTGTTGGGTAAGAGAGATTTTGTTAAGTAGAGAACCTAACAATGAGTAAGACACTACAATGCAACCTCAACACCTAAGGTAATGGGTATATGGATCTATCTTCTTATAGACCTTTAACTTGCTCATATCTCATTACATGTGGAACTCAATTTACACTTAATTCTAACACTCAAAAATTCTTTCTTCCACGAGTATCCATGCTCTACACTAGAGCTGTAGAGCAACTCTTGTTCTCTTTTACATGGGTTGCCATCCACTCAACAACACTTTTTGTGTTCCACATTTTCTACACATAGGTGCCACCAGCTCTCTCAAAGCTCATCTAGTGTCATCGTTTCTCACAAATCATGGGTGCTTCTCTGCTGTGAGTTCCTCTCTATGGCAGCCTCATTTACCCATCTGAGCTATTCATCTAGATTGACCTAGATCTAATACCAATGTTGGGTGAGGGAGAATTTTTTTCAATAGGGAGCCTAACAATGGATACATCTCCTTATAGACCCTTAACTCATTCATATCTCATTTCATGTAAAACTCAATTCACACTGGATTCCAACACATTGGTGTGAAGCCTCTAGAGATGGCGCCGCTACATCTTCACCAAAGACCCTCAATTGGGGGAAGTTTCTTCCCCTCTTTCCCACCATAATCACTATCCTCAAGCCTCATATGTCAATCATCTTAACCAGATTAAGCACTTGTGAGGGAAATTCAGATTTCAGAACAAGTTGAATTTGAAGGATGGGGTGAAACTTATGATAAAGGTGAACTTGAAGCTCGGGTGAAAAGTTGGGTACTAAAGTTGCAGAGCCAACAAATGGTAAGAGACAAGGGTGTGATGATGGTCGTAGGTTGAAAGAGGTTGTTCATCTAAGGGAAGGGTCATCGTTCAAAGAAGATAACTAATTATTAAAATTTTTAAATAATATAAAAAGATAAAGTACATTATAACCCATAAATAAATTAATAAAATAATATTATGTCATTTATTAATGGTCACTTCATCAACTAAACATCAAGAACATAATAGTCAATCTCAGCTAGTGGGATAGCAGATAGTGGGATGACCTATTTCGAAAGTTTTAAATATACTTAATATAAATTAAGCTACACACACACATATATATATATATATATGCTGAAAACATACAAAATACCCAAATTAAAGACATGTATATAATTAATGATAAAAAGTGTAAATTCAAGAATATAATACATGTCAAATGTTAATAACAAATAACAACAAAATACAAGAATAAAACAAATTCAAGTCTCTAATGCTCGGAAGTTTAAAAATATTTAATATTCAAATACAAATATTTAATATTTTAATAATTATCATCATCTTCATTTCAAGATCTCTCATGTCTTCATTTTTACTTTTATCACTACTTTTATAGAGGTCTTCCTCCTTCAAAGTCTTCATCATCACATTCTTCTTCTTGTACAATTTTCTTTCCTTTTCCCGTAGACGTAGAGGAAGAAACAATTGTAATTATCTTGGATTTTGATCTAGCTTGTCATCTAGTATAGGTTATAGGCTCACTAGTCTTAATTGCATTGGTAATAATTCTCCAAATCAAATTATCATCATCAAACACTAATTCATCTACAGCACCTTCATCATCTCCACTAATTCCTTCTAGCAACCAATCATTACTATTATCAACATCCTTTAAGAGAATAGGATCATCTCATTAGAACACTCAAAACTTTTATTGAGAGCTTGGTTATATTCAATGAAAATCAAGTCTTGCAACCTTTTATGCTTAAGTCTTCTTCTCTTTTTAGAATGGATCTATTTTACCATAAAAAATATATATTAGGTTTACAGCACAGTGTCTATTGCCCTTTTTTCTTTAACTTCTTTGGTCATTTTGAACTTTAACCACTCATCGAAAGTGAATATTTTTCTATGGTTTCTTTTTTTAATTATGCAACCTTTGTAATGTGAGAAATGTTGTGGCAAATCTTGTTAACCCATATCAAATTTATTTGTGAACCTCCTCATAATATTCAAAGTCAATAAATAATTATAAATAAAGCCCACAAAATTAATTCCTATTTGTATTGTCCTCTTGACTCTTGTTATTTTTCCAATGTCTTTTAACATCAAACCAATACAATGTGCAATGAATGAAATCCAAAATAAATGTCTTTTTAACTTGCAACAAAACAAAAGAATGACGCAGAGAATGAAGATGAAGAACAAAACAAGAGGAGAACTAAGAGATGAGAAGGAGACAGATGCTTAGGGCTAGCTCAATAAGGGAGAAAAAGATATCATAAATGTAAAAGAGGGGCAAAATCACAAGATTGTCCTCCTTAAAGGTCACCCAACATTCAGAAAGGAAGGGTAAAATAGGGATTTGAACTAGGATGAAATAGTGATCGTGATGGCCACGATTTGCGTTGTTCTTGGCTGCGTTTCGCAGTACGGCAGATGCTACAATGAAACACGACGACAACAAGATGACGACACCCTATCACTCCACTCCACACCTCCGCGATAGCAGCTGTTAATGACTACTATGACATGTATGCTCCAGCTTGAGGAAGAGTGTTGATATGTAAATACAACAATTAGTGACATAATATTGAGATTGCATATATGTAAATACAGTAATTAGGAATATAATATCGGAATTCCATTTTTCCAGATCCTTACGCATTTGTATAAATTTAGGCCTGAGTCAAATGCAATACACGCAAAAATATTCAAAATAGTCTTTTTTATGGGTATCCAAATGTTTGAAGATATAGATATGATTTCATTTCTAGTAAGACCCAAATACTATTATTCAATGCTTTACGGATAAGACACACCAATTCTCTTAAGCACTCTACTCATAATTCATGGCAAAAAACCAACCGGCCCGAAAAGTAAAAAAAAACAGAGAAAACTAAGAGAACTAAATTACTTTGATATGCTAAAGCAAATAGAAAAAGCAGGTTTACCCATGGTTGAAGCAATCATAGATGCAAGGAGACCAAAGACGCAAGAGAATGGTAATGAAATGGCAAGAGCATGAGAGCCCATATCTGAAACCTGGGACACTAGAAATCATTGAATCAGACATACTACCTTTTGTACAAACATTTTGGAATAAAACAAAAGTAAAACAAGAAAATAAATACGAGGGGGAAATATAAAATATCATCCCAAACATTCTATATTAACATTAATAAGACCTTCTTGTAAGTAATAAAAGAGTCAAAGAAACAGTATCTCCTTTAAAACAAATTCATTCATGAGCAAAATGTATGGAATGACATCTTCATTAATGAGTGACTTGGCTGTTATAGTGACATCATAGATAAATTACATGTTTATTCTCCCACTCATTACGCACGTGACTTCTTTTGCATTGACCAATTAATTTTTTGGTTAGTTTTTATTCCTTTCAAATACCATTTCTTTATTTTAATTTTAATTAAATTTTAAATCTTGACACACTAATCAAATTGAAGATATATTGTTTTTAGATAAACTGAATTCTGAATCATACAAGAAAGTATTTTCAGGAGTTGTTCTCCAGCTCATTAAGTCACATGACTTCTTTGGCATTGACCAATTAATTTTTGGTTAGTTTTTATTCCTTTCAAATATCATTTCTTTATTTTAATTTTAATTTTAATTAAATTTTAAATCTTGACACACTAATCAAATTGAAGATATATTGTTTTTAGATAAACTGAATTTTAAGATTACTGTTACTTAATCAATCTTAATTTGAATTTGAATTTTGACACATTATATTAATAAAAATTAGAAATATTTTTAGCTCAATCTTAATTTGAATTTAGAATTTTTCATAATTTCTTTCTTAATTGTAAAATCCTACCTCTTTAATTCAGTTTCATTTAATATAATAAGATACTTATTATTAATAATAAAAATATTTACTCTCCTTTTAAATTTATAAACTTATTCCATTTAAAAATAATCATACTCTACACTTTTAACTTTTATTTAAAATAATATTTTAATTTAATAATACTCATGCAAGGTACAAGAAACTCAGTTATATAAATGTTCTAGGCCAAACATTAGCAGCCATTAAGATATTTTAGGTGCTAAAGTCCCAAGTTAATTGAGACGTTGGCTCTAGCAGAAAATGTTGACTGGTAGAGTATGATAGACCTTAAAATTAATAATGAAATAGATCTTAAAATTATGAGCTTGGTTATTAGAGTCCTACGAGTGGTGATTCAAATACTGAACAATTTAGAATCATAGATGACTTTGAATCATACAATACATTATTGAATTCGTGCAATTCCAAACAAACCCAAAAGTTGGCTCCTAAGGTGAGAATTGTTTTAGCCTTTATAAATTCTACTTTAGTCATATCACTAGTTGATGTGGAACTTCAACATCCAATTTACTTTTCTTCCACCATTTCTTAACAACGAAATTGAAAAGTTAGATTAACTTAAATTGTTAAATGAAAAAGAACTAAAGGAGCACTGATAAATGCACCATATTTATTTATTAAAATGCTCTATTTGCAATCTTTTAAAATAGGTTTCACTGTGTCACTCATTCATTCCATGTACTATATTTGGCTAATCCATCATTTTATTTGAGTCTTTTGAAAGAAAGGCTTCACACACACAGTCGTATGATTTTGTTTTGTGATACTTATGAGGAATTTTGAGCACAGTACATCATCTATATGATATATTTCAAGTTATTTTTTATTGTGTATCTGAATCCTGCGTATCAATAAAATTTATGGTTCAGGATTGAAAAACTAGCTTGCATTATTTGAATTGTGATTCAATAACCTTGATTATGAGATGCAATAAATTGAGAATTGTCCAGTTTTGGGTAATTACACATCTGATCTTAAAAAGGTTGTGCACCCCTCAAAATGTTACCTATTTGAAACAAGTAACAGCTATGCCAGTTGTTCCAAGTGTTAATGACTTGACATCAGCTGGAACCATTATTTGGGCTGGTGGTAATTATTGTGTCATATGTTCATTTTATTTATTATCTTTAAAATATTATCCTACCCTAAATTGTTGGGAATCAAACATAGGTAGCACAGTGGAAAAACAATGATTCTCAATGCTCTTGCAACATTCATGTTTCAAAGTTCATAAAAACAATTACTAAGATTGGAATATTACCTTTGTGAAAACATTAACCTCATCTCTACAGGAGTTCACACAAACTCTCATTAAAATCTCTCCAATCTCCTTGTGCTAGTAGAGTGCAGAGAGAGTGCTGACCTAATTTTTCAATTTAGGTCTATTCTTATATGTTAGGGTTTGAGCATCCCTTCTTCTCTTTATAAGCAACCAAAAAATAGCTCTAGCGCATCACTCCTAAGGTGGTTAACACTAATCTGCATCCTTGTCTACTGTAGTTAGGCTCATTCAATGAACCTGGCCTAACAAGGCAATATAACCTTTCTAGTGCACTAGTTTTATGCGTGTGACCCTATAGGTGTTTCTTGCTTATTTGGGATATAATATTTAAATATAAATATTCAAGCTGTTAGTGCATATACTAACAATCTCCCACTTGTACTTAATCTTGATTAGATATATTTCAAGGATTTGATTTCTGTCTATTTAATGAGAAAAGGCCACCAAGAGCCATACAATTTTTCCCTAAAAGTTTATTGACTTTGGTCATGGTATCCCTTGATCTGACACAAAGGGTCCATGTAAACAGCTGCAGGTGCAAGGTTCACCTTCACCCTAATAGTATCAATTATGTAGGTTTAATCTTATAAGTTTATACCAATGCCAACCTAATGCCCACTTCATTTCATTTCATTTGTAATATACAAGAAAAATGATCCAAATTTTTTTGTAAGTGTTTCCAAGATCAGTAGCATACCAATAGTTCCTCTAGGAAGCAAAAATATGCAAGCATGCTGACCAAGACAAGTACTGATACATCCTGCCATATCCTGTACATGACATTATAATTAGAAAGTGAGCAATTGGCCAGTATTTTGTCAGTTTGTCACAAGTTTGTAGACCTGACAAAGCATTGTGATAGATAAGCCCTATGTAGTTAGTTAGAGTTGGTTGGTTAGTTTGTTGGGCTGGGACTGTTAGTGAGAACTTTTGTTAGCTAGTTACAAAATTGCAAATAGAAGAGACAGTATAAATAATAGAGGGAAAGAGAGAGCAGAGAGGAACAATAATTTAGTTGTGGGAGAGTTTCCAGGTCCCTCGAATATCCAGGGGAGTTATTGTTGTGTCATTTTCCTGATCTATTGGTCTGCATCCACACTGGGGGAGTAGGGCTGGAATTGGGATTTTCTCTCAATAAGGATTCACTTTTCTTATCATCAGTGCCAGTTTCTATGGCATTGTCTCCTGATAAGTTTGTGACTTTGTTCAAATTCAGAAATATCCAGCACGCTTTTATTACCAAGCTAACAGCCAATTTCACACAGAGTAAGCTTTGTGGTTGGCTTGGTGAATCTTGGGTTTTCCTCCACAGTATGAAGCAGTTTCCTTCATTAACTACTGTTCTCCAAGGATTAAATCTTTAAAATTAACTTTAGTTGCAGCCATTGAAACCTATTGGAAATATCTTGCAGTTAGTGTCAGTGTAAAGTAACTTACTGCTCTAATAGAAGAGCATTTTATGTGGTAAATAATATTGTAAACATACTCTAATTAATACATTGCCAGTATAAAATAAGCAGCCAATTACATACAGATTAGTCTTTTTGGCTTCTTCACTCACTTCTTCTCCATAGTTTGGATCTCAATTTTAGGTACAATAATTCTTCACAGACCAAGTATGTAAAGCTAAATGGAAAATGAGACCTAACAACCTCATATAAGACCTAAACCCCTAAACCTAACAACCTCACAAGATCAAGCAATTAAGCACAACAGGACCATTTTAGGTCTCTCCTATGGTGTGGGAGGGAATTCAACATGAGAATGAGTTGTGCATTGATGCAATTAAACGTACCTGTAATAAGCTATTTCTCTCTGCTGTGGCGCTGGTGCACTCGATGGCTGCCTAGCAACAGTTAGAGGATTTGAAATTTTCAAGAGTGTTACAGGGAGGTTTCGTACATCCTGCTTGCAGACATCACAGGTCTTGTTTCCTTTGATACTAAACCACTTTACTGCACAGTCTTGGTGAGCAAGTGCAAGCTCACCTTTACAACTGCACTCCATCCTAAGAGTATTCGCTCCTTCCCCAAGCTCCACCAAACAAATCCTACAAACTGCTTCTTCTTCTGGAATATCCTCAGAAGCATCTTCAGAGACTAGATAATAAGAAATGGCAGCACACAGGGAGGAGAAGGAGTAAGAGGAATTTAAGCATATGGTTAACAAGATAATCAAGGACAATGAGAATAGTAAAGAAAAATTAAAAACAAAAAAAGCACTATGCAAATTATGCCTGCATAAACAGTAGTTCACCATTGATAATGCAGATATAAAGGCAACAAAATAATGTTTAATGATAAAAACAAAAAGAAAGAAAGATCAATACCACACACATTGATTTATTTGAGTAATTTCATTTAACAAAAAAGGCAATGTTTTAAACAGTAAGATAGTTACTACAACTATCTGAAAGGTTAAGATCAAAACATGTTCTTAGATGGAACAAAGTTACAGTTGACATCCCACATGGACTATAGACATAGCTAAATAAGAACTTATAAAGGCTAAAGTTATCCTCACCTTACAAGCTAACTTATAGGGTTGAGTTAGGCTTAAAGCCCAAATTCAATATGGTATTTAAAACCTATCGTACATCTAATATTGGGCCACCCTTGATTGAAAAAATAATAATTTGGCCCCACAAATTTTCCCAGTGGCCCTGTGAACTATAGTGCAACTTTCAAATGTCCAGCCTTGAGTGTGAGGAGGTTTGTTGAAGTCCCACATCAACTATATACATTATTCTTCAAATTTTATTTAAAAACAACACCACAGAAACTTCTGAGATGTTTACCTGAACAAACAAGAATTTGGGAAAAATGAGTTTTATAAAGGATTCTTGGAGACTACATAAGCGAGGAAGACTGAATTAAAATTTAGGACAAACCATTGAAAAGAGCTTCATGAAAACATTCTGAAGGCTTAAATACACTTTAGTTCTTATAATTTTTCTAAATTTTGGTTTTGCTTCCAATACTTTAAAAAGTTCGGTTGAAGTCCCTATGGTTTCTTTTTGTTAAGGAATTGGTTCTTGGGAACACAACCAAGTATAAGGACTAATACCAAAATTGAGATAGACTATTTCAAGACAAAATATGTATTTCAACCAATTCTGAAATTTGTTTTCAGAAGATCAGAATATTGTTGTCTGATTCATGTACTCAAACCCACCTAACAGGATGAGGCTTGTTCTGTTGTTATGAATTATTTAAGAGTTTTGAGTTTTTTTTTTTTTTTTTGGCATTATACCCTGTTTAAGAAGAGCAGTTTGCTTAATATAATTTCAAATCATGGTTTCTTCTTTGATTCTTTCAGACAATTATAGTCATCCTCAACAACGATTTAGATTTTAGACAATCATCCAATAACAGTAGGTAAGAAAATAAGGCAATAAATTCCAGAACAATATTTCATTCATTCTTCAGTAGGCTACTTTGATGCAGCTGCCTGAAACTAAATCTCGTTCAAATCTGCTATTTCTCAAAGTTCTCATCCTCCTTTCCTATCAAAGTGGAAAATAACAGCTTTTTTGTCCTTGTGTTTATATATTAAACAAAACTTGAAAGTAACAACTGTTACTTACTGCTCCAATAGACATATATAAGCATGGCCACTTTCATGAGACTTGTTGGAAGTTATGCACAAACTCTGAAATTAAATTATAACTCCTATCTTTTCTTTCCTCTATGTCATCATTTACATAACTCATTCCATTGTTAACATTATTTATGGTTCAGTGCCTGATTAAACAAATATCGTTGCCTGCCAAAACAACTGACTGCGTCAGACCCCACACTCTTGATCAAGAAATTTCAAAAGGATACCTAGAAGAAAGTAATGTAAGTTCCATATATTATGAACATGTACCAATCTCTGACACCAAAGCATTGGAAGTTGAAATGTCATCAGTAGTTGCCAGATGTGATCTTGCTGAAATTACACGAATCAAGCCCCTAGAATCGGTAGGCCTTAAATTAGTGGCTTTAACATTAACTGGAACTGAAAACGATCGAGTCATATGCTGATATACGGCCATTTTCTGTACGAAATGAAAATATTCATCAACATGGCATAATTTAAATATCAAATACAACAGCATGTTCAATATTAAAAATTGTTGAAGAACTTAGACTATGATGACTAGAGTATAAGAGTATTTGTTTTGATATCATGGAACAAGAATGAAGAGCAGAAACATACACTTAAATCAGAACCATTCCCTGGGTGTCTTCCATGTACATTCTCTACACCTGAGTTTGCAATTGGAGTAACAGGCAATGAATGTGCTGCTTTTGTTGATGAAGGGAACAAAATCTTGTTAAGAGAAAGGGACCTTGAAGTTGAAGGCTTATTATTATTATTATTATTATCCATAGGACCATCTGATGGTAAAGTATAAGGAACAATCAGAACTGTCCTTTCACTGTCCTGTGAACAAGTTTTGGCCCTAAAGCTCCTCTCAGAAAGTAAAGTTCTCATAGAGGACTTGACTTTGGCTGAATTTGGCCTCGGTGGCAGTCCTCTAGTGGAACCTGGACTTGACAGCGTAGAACCATCTGTGGAAGAAGAAGATAATGCATTTTCTATTGACCTTGCTGGTATTTGCAGAGAGGAGAGGCTTGGTCTTCTGGACTGTGGAATCAAAGAGGTCTTGTCACCTTTTCCATTCCCAGCACAAGTCTTAAAAGCCATCAAAACTAGTTCAATGACACTAAGAAGAAAAAGTGAAGTATAAAACTTTTCTTTTTCTTTGCAAACAATGAAAAAACAAAAGGCAAATTTTTTGTTTCTTTAACAGTTTAACCCAAGTGGTGAAAAAAGTGGACTTTGCATCATCTACGTCCCTATAGCTAAAACTAAACAAACCCATTTGGTCTGAAGACAAATCATGATACAATCAAAAGGGTTTCAGCATTGAGATTTTCAACAAAGGATCAAAGTGGGTTTTACAGAATCACCTGATCGTGAAGAAGAAGAGCAGGATCTGCTGCCTCTCTTTGAAGTTCAGCATTTGCCTTGTCCATCAAAGAAAGATTCCAATGAATAGTAATATCAGATTCAGAGGAAACGGAAAATGATATTTTGTGAGGAGATATGCAACACTTAAATCATCAATTATGATACCATCACATCAGATACCACAAAATAGAATAACGATGTTAGTAAAAGGAAGAGGAAAGTGAATGAAAATGTTGCTGGCTGTACGTGTAATTAGAGCGGGTTGGTAGGAGTTTACGAGAAAAAATATGTCCAAGTGATTAAAACTTTCGGACCATTGACGGGAATCTAGTTATAACAAATTTAATCGGTGAAATTTACTGTATTTTGAATAGTGAGGGATGAAATCTCCTGCAAAAATTACTAAATTTAATTTTATATCTAAAGGTTTAAAACATATTTGTTTATCAATAATTAAAAATACTAGTTAATTATTATCGCTAAATAATTTTTTATTTATAATTTTAAAATTTATATTACTCTGTAATTTCTTCACAAATCTCAACAAAATATTTTTTCCTAATCCTATCTTCATCCTCATCTGCTTCATCTTTGGTATCGCTACCATTGTGCCTAATGGTTTTCCTTCCTCTAATTGGTTTTATTTTTTCGTCACTTCAAATTCTTCAAGTGAGTTTTCAACGATACTGATGGGTTGCGGTAACTTGGGCCCTTCAAGCATACCCGTAGGAGAGGGGGTAACAAGGGGAATAGAGAAAATGATTTTGCAGTGTAACTAATGGCAAAGAGAGAGTGAGGGAGGGAATACTTGAATATGTTAGAATATCGTCATGTATTCAGGGTTCTTCCCTGGTTGTTTCGTCTTTTTACCATAATAATATAAAGTCCTATCAATCTGGTATTAGAGCTCCTGATCCTAGGAGTGTTTAGATGGTAAAAACACAAATGGAGAGTCGAATGGAGAACGTGGAATGCAGGTTGGAGGGAAAGCAAACGTCCGTTCAGGAGATGTTTTAGAAGCAGATGAAATAGATGGTGAGGACGATAACTGAATGGTTCGAACCAACCATGACGAACCTCCAAGAGGAAGGGGAACATGGTGCCAAAAATGTAGTTGCAGGAGATTTAAGTAGAAGCCATAAAAGAATTGAAATTGGGACTTGGTAAAAGCAACCAAAGTAATGTGAACAAGGGAGCAAATATTGCAAAGTGACGTGAACGGATCTAAGAGCAAGTGAAAAGGAATTAATGCCAAGTAACCTATTACATAAGTAATGATGTGAGATCAAGGGAAGAAGATTTTATTAATATAGAAAGCAATTGAATTAGGAACAAAGAAAAGAAAGTGTTTCAAATAGTCATAATTCACCAAATAGATAAGAAGAAATCATGATAAAAGAAACTAGAACCATGCAACGTGTACAGTTAGGAGATTTAGGTAATGAAAAAAATTAATTGCAAAAGGAAAAATCTTAGTCAAAGAGTCAAGATTAAACAAAATTGTTAGTTAATTATCGTGAAGATAAAATCAAAACTTGGCTAAACATAGGTAAAAAATGACATCACTTTAGCAAGCCTTAAATGTGAAACTACTAGGGACATTTCAACGTGTAAGATTAGGAAAGAAGGCAATGAATGGCCCTTACAACGTGTAAGCTTAGGGTGAATTGCAAATGACAATGAGTATAAGAAGATAAAATTTTCAAACTATGGTGACTCATCAAAGGTTTTAAGGAGGAAGAACCTAAAAGAAACCAAGGAGACTTAAGCCATTTAATGCATGAATAAAGTAACGTTCAAGGTTTATCCAAATGGTAAAAATCTACCAAAAGCAATGATGATTTACCAAGTCTAAAAAAAAAACCTTAATTCATGTCAAAGCTACCCTAAAATCACTTTCAAATTTTCACCTTCTCACTTTGTCTTTCACGCCCAAATTTAGTAAGAAGCTTCTTGCTTTTTCAATCATTTTCACATATAATGATGATAGAAGAAATTCTCTTGGAGAATTTGGGAAGACACCAAAAAATTTCTCATACCTCTAAAGAAAAAAAACTTAAAGTTTAAAAAATCCTAAAATAAGAAATGTAAAATATGAAAGAATTCCTAAATTAGCCTTCATGACATCTATTTATATACTTTGGAGTCATGTGGGCATTGAAATGCTAGAATGAACATTGAAACACTTGTGAAGCCTTTTTGCATATACACAAGAACATGCAAGGCTAAGAGCCAGCATTGGAACATGTAACTATTTGAAGTTGCCTGAGCTTTGTGTGTTGAAATGCCAAACTTTAGAATTGGAACACCAAGGTCTTGGACTATTTTTGTTATCCTTAGTGTACTGGATAAGGCCTTACTCGGTTCTACTCGTAAAAAAAGGTAACTGAGTACCCCTTCAGCCTAATATAACCGAACACCTCTTGTTAGATGAGGAGGTAATTAACCCAATTGAGAGTAATAATCAGAATATTATTTATTTTAATTAAAGGGCCAAAACCAAGGTTGACTCAACAAACTCATTAGCCCATAACAATGCCTATAAAAGAAAGGTAGGAAATATAGGTAAAGAGTTGACTTTTAATTATTAAAATAGTATTTACTGCTCAGAATCGAGATCTGACTTCAGCATCGGAGTGCCTTTTGCAGGTACCCTCTCCACGTCAGCAACATACAGAAGGATGTCCCTCACTTTTTCAATCATCATGGTACTAATAAGAAGCCAACAAGAGGGACATAATTATCAAGGACAAACTTCTCGTCAACAGGAAGATGTCACACCCAATCAACTGATCCCTGAAGTTTTGGCCAAAAGAGAAGGAGATGCAAGCCTCTCTTCTATAGTAAGACAGTTACAGGCCGAGATGAGGGAAATGCAACAGGCCAGAGAGAGAGATGCTCTTGAGATGTCAGCTTTAAGGAGGGAGAACGCTAACTTGAGGGAGGAAATTAAAATCCATATACCCTCTCAGACTACCTCGTTCGCTTAAGAGCAGGGAGAGTCCTCGGCACTGCAAGAAAAGCCTAAGGGAACTCCACAAGTTGGAATCCCTACTAAATGGGACAATGTCTCGGGTCGAAGCCCTTTTATTCAGCCTATCCTGGAGGCTAAGTTACCTGATAACTGGAGAGGTTTAACATTAGAAAAGTATAATGGAACGTTTGACCCAGGAGAACACTTGAATATTTTCATAACCCAAGTCGGTTTGTATACAGAAAACGAGGCCTTATAGTGCAAGATTTTTCCCATTTCCCTTTGAGGACCAGCTCTCAGTTGGTTCACCCAACTCCCCCTTCCTCCATTGACTCTTTCGCAATCCTTACACGACGATTCAATCTACAGTTCGCCATAAGCTGAGCTCACCCCCTGACATCCCTAGCACTCGTCAATATTTGCCAAGAGAAAGGAGAAACACTTAGAGCGTTCATGAAACGCTTTGGCAAAGTAACCCTTTCAATCCACAATTTGAAACCAGCCGTGGCCACGCACCACCTCATAACGGCCCTTAGACCAACACCTTTTGTTAATAGCATATGTAAGAAACCACCCATGGACCTAAACGAATTAAGGAGTCGGACAGCCAAATATATGCAAATGGAGGAGTTAATTGAATACCGGAACCAAGTCCGGATAGATCAAGGGGGATCCAATTCGAGAGAGGCGGACAAAAAAAAAACTTTCAAGTCTCGATAAGAAAACAAAGTCAAAAGAAATGATGTTGAGAGGCTGTCTAGAGGTCCCAAGTATCCTTCATATACTACTCTCAACACCAACCGATCTAGGCTACTTGACCAAGCTCTCGCGACTAAAATATTGAGCATGCCCAAGCGTGCTAATACCCCCATCGAGCAGACAAAAGCAAATTTTGCCGATATCATCGCAATAGGGGCCATACCACATAAGAATACACGGCCCTGAAGGATAAAATCGAAAATTTGATCAAAGAAGAGCACCTTCGAGGATTTGTGCAAACAAATCCCACTGGTCATACTGAAAGAAGTAGAGACCGATATCCCCAATCCTCAAGAAGATATAAGGATAAACAGCCTAAACGACAACAGAGCCGGTCAAGAGAACCTCCTGCGAAACAGATATGAGGAACGGGAGAAATACCCAAAGTGGGTTATTAACACCATAGCCGGTGGGTTTGCGGGTGGAGAACCCTCCAATTCGGCTAGAAAGAGACATATGAGACAAGTCCACTCTGTCAACAATATATCGCTGGGTAGTAGAATTTGGATTCCCCTCATCACATTCCCTAACAACGACTTTCAAGGGATAGATCCAGTGCAAGATGACCCTATGGTTATAAATGTGGATATCCTCAATTGCACCGTCAGGAAAACACTAATTGACCAGGGGAGCTTCGCCGATATCCTCTACTGGAACACATTCAAACAACTAGGGATACTAGAAGATGAACTCAGAAGGTATCACGAACCACTGGTCAGTTTTTCTGGGGAATGAGTAGAGACTCGTGGTTGCATTGACCTGTACACCTCATTCGCGTTCGAAAATGAAGAAAACGCATTAAGGTCACTTACCTGGTGGTGCACGCGAATACTTCGTACAACATACTACTCGGTCGATCATCACTTAATAAATTGAAAGTCATAATGTCTATTCATCACTTGGCTATGAAATTTCCATCAGAAAGGAGTTGGATTGTTACAGTACATGCTGACCAAAAGACGGTTAGAGAATGCTATTTTGCAAGCCTGCGCTTAAAACCGTTCCAGGAGTACAAGCGAGACGTCAATATCGTCCTCCCTCGATCAGAAGAAAATCTGGATATGGAGTTAGATCCCAGAATTGATGAAGGATGTCAGGTCGAGCCCAGCGAAAATAAGCAGCCCTTCCAATTGGGACCGAAGCCTGAACAAATCACTTATCTTGGCGCCGGGTTGTCCCTACAAGAAAGGTAGGACCTTTAGAAAGTCTTGCTGCGAAATGCTGATTTATTTACCTGGTCAACGTCAGATATGCTAGGAATAGAACCAAAATTTCTCTGTCATCATCTCTCGA